GAGAAGCTGAAGCTAAAGTCAGAACCATTCGGGATAATCTAAAGGTGGCACAGTCCCGGCAGAAAAGTTATGCAGATAACCGTCGCCGTAACCTGGAATTCGCAGTGGACGATTTTGTGTATCTTCGGGTCACGCCATTGCGGGGTGTACACAGGTTTCAGACAAAAGGGAAGCTCGCACCTCGGTATGTGGGTCCTTTCCGTATCGTTGCCCGACGCGAAGAAGTCGCTTACCAATTGGAGTTGCCCGCCTCCTTGGGCAACGTGCATGATGTGTTCCATGTGTCGCAACTCAAGAAATGCCTTCGAGTGCCATCCGAGCAGGCCGACTCAGAGCAAATTGAAGTTCGCGAAGACTTGACCTACGTGGAGAGGCCAGTGAAAATCCTGGACACCATGGAGCGCAGGACCAGGAACCGGGTAATCCGTTTTAGCAAGGTCCAGTGGAGCAACCACGCCGAAGAAGAAGCTACCTGGGAGCGTGAAGACGAGCTGAAGGCAGCCCATCCTCATCTCTTCGCCAGTTCTTCCGAATCTCGGGGTCGAGATTCCGTTTAAGGGGGGTAGGTTTGTCGCGTCCCAAAACGACTCTAAAATACATCCTCAAAATTATGCATAGAATAAGTAAAATCCATGTGAAAGCCTCCAACAATTAAAATGTGCAAAGTTAAAAGTCAAATAAGGCTTGGAGGATTTTTGTATATTTCCTAAAAGCCTAAAATGCGTAAATAAATTTTAGTGGAATTTTCAGAGCACAAATAATAATTATTAAGAAATAAACAAAGTTAAAAAGGTTTTATAAAAAGAAAAACCCTAAAAAGTCCTTCTTCCCCCCCTTCCCCTCTTGGGCCGGCTCGGCCCACCTCCCTCCCTCTCTCTCCTCTTCCCCCCGCGGCCCAATCGGCCTCCTCCCCGCGCGCGTGCCGCTGACGGGCGGGCCCGCCCGCCACCCTCGCTGACGGGTAGGGCCCACCCGTCATCCCCTACCTCCCGCCGCTCCCGCCGCCTCGCCCGTGCCCTAGCGCCGCCGCCGCCGCGGATTCCGCCGCATCCCGCCGCCCCCGCGTGCAATAAAGTGAGGGGAATCATTCCCCGTGATTCCCTCTCCCTTTCCCCCCATTTTTCCCTCTCTCTCTCGCATTCAAACGGGCGGATTTGCCCCCGCAAATCTCGCCGGCGCCATTGATGGAGCCCGAGAGCGCCGCGCCGGTTTCCTTCTCCCCCGGCCGCCCTCTCTCACTCCCAACACTATATAAACGCTCCCCGTGCCTCCCTCCACCGTTTCCGCCACTCGCCGCTCTCTCTCTCCGCCGGAATCAAGCTCGCGCCGTCGCTCTCTCTCTCCGCCGTCACCGCCGAGCTCCGGTCCGCCGCCGTCGTCGCCTCGGACCTTCTCCCGCCTCGGCGTCGCCTCCTTCGGCTCCGCCGCGTCCTCGCCGACCTCGTCCACCCCTCCGTTTCGCCCGCCGACCGCCGGAACGCCGCCGTCCCCGTCGACCCGTGCCGCGCCGCCGCCTTCTTCCGCTCCGGTCGCCGTTCCCGTCGTCGTCGTCGACCCGGGGTGAGCCGTGGACCGCCCATTTCGTTTCCCCCTTCCCTCCCCTCTCTCGGCCGCCGCTCCGCCGTGCCTATGGCCGCCGCCGGCGACCATAGGGGCGCGGGCGCGTCGCCTCCCGTCGGCTGTGCCGGCGAGGCCGCCTTCGGGCGCGCCCCGCGGCTGCCATGTGGGGCCCGGCCGTCAGCCGCCCGCGCCCTCGGGTGCGGCTGACGCGTGGGACCCACGGCGCCGGCCGGCGTAAGCCGCGTGCACCCGGTCCACCGTGGACCGAGAGGCTGCCGCGTGGGCCCCACTCCCGTGGAACCGGTCCGCGCGCTCCTCTCTCCCGGCTGACGCAATAAATATGTTTTTAAATTAAAATTTAAATGAAGAAATTCGTAAATATCCATTTAAAGAGCATATAAACTTCAAATGGCCATAACTTGGCCATTTGAACTCGGAATTGGACCGTTCAAGTCTCTAATTTTTCCTTAAGAAGCCAAGAACCCATTTTTGTGCTTTGTTTCTGCTTGTTATATGGAGTTTAGTAGAGTAAAAGCCGTTTCTTTTCCGTTGTCGTGTAGACGCTGCAGCTTCGGAAGATCCGCTCTTCGTGGAGGTTGAAGCCGACGTTTGGGAAAGCGAGCAAGGCAAGTCACATCATCTTTGAACATATTGAATCCCAGTTTGTAAAATTATGTTGATTTAACTTATTGCATTATCGCTTTATTTAAATTCCCGCGTCATCACTGTTTTACTTAGCCATGCCTATTTACCTTTGTTATGACCTTATTATTATTGTTATTGTTATTATTTCCTTGTTCACCCTAGAATAAACAAAACCCCAACTAGTGGACACTCTACTCATGGTATCACTAGTATGATTTTAGGTAGATGCTTCGCTTTTAATTAGGTAACATTAGGCGGTTTTACAACTCTAGACTTTGGGAATATTCATATCACCTGGACACCATGGAATGGTTTGGTTATTGTGGAATTGGCTTCACACCGCTCCTTCTATTCAAAATCCCCAAAAATGGTTTTAGGCTGGGCTCGGGGTGCATGGTTTTGACAGTAGCACCTCGGCCATATAAGGACCGGTCTTCGGGCCTCTGTTGCAAAGCACTACCGTACTTCCACATGTCTAGTGGGTAAGGCTTAGTTTGTGGCTCAGTCTAGTCATAAACAAAAGTACACGGATGGAGATGGAAGAAGTCGGGGGTCGATGGACATCTCTAGGACAAATGAAGGCTACACGAGCTGCGGCCCGGTAGTCGAGATGTCATGGCACAGGGCCGGTGTCCTGCTGCTAGGGGCTCAGTCCTGCCTGCCTGTCCCGGGGGTTCCGGCCGTAGGTGGGATTGGGTCGGTACTCTTGTCTATGGCTAGGATGGGTTGGAAACTATGTCACGTCTTTCGTCTGTATACCGTGGTGGTATGTGGCACGTGGTTACACGTGAGGAAGATGTGTCTTGTGGGTAAAGATGTACACCTCTGATCAGAGTATAATCTATTCGAATAGCCGCGCCCTCGGTTATGGGCAAGCCGAGCAATGTACCCAAGTTAGTCTTTTAATTCTTAAAACCTGCTTAACAACTAAAATGTGGAATGGTTGGCCTGGGTTGGCTTGGGACGAGCTGGGACCCAGGGTCGGGTTGCCAGTTCGGTCTGAATCATCGTAGGCCTTGGGTTAAGGCAGGTTCGTGTGGGTTCACGGCCTTGATAAAAAAATATTGTATAGTACTAGAATCGTGTTTGCAAAATAGCCCTGAGCAACTAATGTCTTTAAATGCTGTCTACTGCAACCCTAACCCTTTATAGTATAACTCCTTTGTACTCCCTTGCATTTATTCTGCACTTGTGGGTGTGTCTTGTTGAGTACGGTGGTTGTACTCAGTCTTGCTCAATTTTTCCCAAACCCAGAAGAGGAGTTCCTGGAGGATGAAGGCTTTGGTGTCTAGCTCGTGCCTGCCGTCAAGTGCCTGTGGTCGTCGCCCTAGTCTTCCGCTGTTTCTCGTTTGTCTTTGTGTGTGCTGGGCCTTCGCTGCCCATGTAATAAATTAACTATTTACGCTTCCGCTTGTTAAACTCTGAATTGTATCAACTTTTGGTGTACCTTGCCTCCTGGGACAAGGATTAATGCACGCACGTAAGGTACGCCCGTTGGGTTATTTCCGGTCGTGACATTGTGGCTCAGTCTGGTTATAAACAAAAGTACACGGATGGAGATGGACGAAGTCGGGGGTCGATGGACATCTCTAGGACAAATGAAGGCTACACGAGCTGCGGCCCGGTAGTCGAGATGTCATGGCACAGGGCTGGTGTCCTGCTGCTAGGGGCTCAGTCCTGCCTACCTGTCCCGGAGGTCCCGGCCGTAGGTGGGGTTGGGTCGGTACTCTTGTCTGTGGCTAGGATGGGTTGGAAACTATGTCACGTCTTCCGTCCGTATACCGTGGTGGTATGTGGCACGTGGTTACACGTGAGGAAGATGTGTCTTGTGGGTAAAGATGTACACCTCTGATCAGAGTATAATCTATTCGAATAGCCGCGCCCTCGGTTATGGGCAAGCCGAGCAATGTACCCAAGTTAGTGTTTTAATTCTTAAAACCTGCATAACAACTAAAATGTGGAATGGTTGGCCTGGGTTGGCTTGGGACGAGCTGGGACCCAGGGTCGGGTTTCCAGTTCGGTCTGAATCATCGTAGGCCTTGGGTTAAGGCAGGTTCGTGTGGGTTCACGGCCTTATTTAATAATATTGTATAGCTCTAGGAGCGTATTTACAAAATAGCTTTCAGCAACTACGTGTCTTTTAATGCTGTTTACTGCAAACCCTAACCCTTTATATTATGACTCCCTTGTACTCCCTTGCATTTATTCTGCACTTGTGGGTGTGTCTTGTTGAGTATGGTGGTTGTACTCAGTCTTGCTCAATTTTTCCCAAACCCAGAAGAGGAGCCCCTGTATGATGAAGGCTTTGGTGTCTAGCTCGTGCCTGCCGTCAAGCGCCTGTGGTCGTCGCCCTAGTCTTCCGCTGTTTTCCGTTCGTCTTTGTGTGTGCTGGGCCTTCGCCGCCCATATAATAAATTATCTATTTACTCTTCCGCTTGTTAAACTCTGAACTGTATCAACTTTTGGTGTACCTTGCCTTCTGGGACAAGGAATAATGCACGCACGTAAGGAACGCCCGTTGGGTTATTTCCGGTCGTGACATTAGGGCACCCACAATGGTTATCTATAGGCTCTCTACAAGAGATCCATGTCAGCATATTTTCCTACTTGGAAGAGATTAAATGAAGAGAAAGAGAGCAAAGCTATCTACTAACCTGGAAATAGTCTATAGAGAAAAACGAGGTAATGGATTAGAGAGCTATAGATACCCATGTAGACATACCATTGAAGTGGTTTACTATTAATCTAGTCTATTGCTGAGATGTACATGTTTTATAGATAGCATCTTACTTTACCATTGCGGGTGCTCTAATAGTAGGAAGTGGGCTATATTATTATCCTTGCTCTGAGAATGTTTTTCAATCAACGTTTGACCATTCATTTTATTCAAAATTTTCCGTTAGCTGCGCCAGCATCCAGCGCAGACCGGAGAAGCCGACGGCGAGTATGAGCCTTGCTGGCGGCGAGGTATCCGGCGCCGTCCTCCTCACACAATTGTGTAGCGCAGCTGCCATCTGCGTGGCGGGATGGTTGGTGCCATTGCCGGCAGCCGGCCAGGTGGCGAGGTCGGGAACATGGAAGCAATGCTGCTCCATCGATTTATTCCTCAGATCAGCAGCATCGTCGCAGCAAATGCGTCGACAGATGAGCTGCAGGTTGATCAGTGATCAGCAAAAGCAGCAGGAGGAGGAGGACGTGGTGGTCGTCGATCGACGACAATCTTTGTTGTCGCTGCGGCCGCGAAGACGTGATATCGGCTGAACTGCTGATGATCAAGAACCTGCAGTGCCGGTTGGAGGAGACCATGCTCGGCATCATCCGTCACGACAACATCGTCGTCCTCCGGGGTTCCATCCAGAGTGACGACGACGACGGCACGGTCCAGCTCGTGTACGAGGACATGGAGAACGGCTGCTGCCTCCACGAATGGCTGCACGGCAACCGCCGATCCCAGCTGGAGGCCGGCGAGAGGCAGCGGCGGCGGCGGCTGAGATGGCGGGCGCGGCGGTCCATCGCCGTCGACGTGGCCAGAGCAATCTGCTACCTGCACCACGATTGCAAAAGCCCCATCATCCACCGCGACATCAAGCCGACCAACATTTTGCTCGACGGCAACCTCAAAGCCAAGATAGCTGGTTTCGGTCTTGCACGGATCAATGTTGCTGGGCTCAACCAACCGTTACTCAACGTAGAAATTCCTAGCGAGGCCTTTGGGTATACTGCTCCAGGTGAGGTGATCTTTAATGCACGATCAATTCCGATATTTTTTAAAAAAAAACAGAAATAGATTCTACTTTATCATAAACATAATTAAAGGCACCATGATTAAATCATTATTTAGGTCTGGTACAACTCAAAATCCAAGGTTTCTTATAGCTAAATATTCATAGCTACATAAATTTGTTGATTTAGTCCATGCATGATTACGTTGATAACATTAGATAAATCGTTTTATTTTTATTTTAGATAAAATTTGTAATTTTAAACCACTATAATTTACTATGGATTTGGGATTTGAAGTTGTGCTAAACATGACTTTACCATTTATTTGTAATTCACTACATATATATTGACATGTTTTTTTCCCTACAGAGTATGCAACCGCGCAGGTAAATGAGAAGGTGGACGTGTACAGCTTTGGTGTGGTGCTTCTGAGCTCGTCACGGGAAGATTGGGTAACGAGCCAGGCGTAAATAATGGGCACTTGGCTATGTGGGCGCAGAGAGGGTACGGTCGACATCTCAGCAAGGACGTCGTTGATAAGGAGATCGTCCCTGATATGGCACGATACTTGAAGGAGATGAAGGCCATGTTCAAGCTCGGTGTGGAGTGCACCGCTATGGACCCACGGGAGAGGCCGTCCATGCTGACGGTTCTTCGTCGCCTCACCAAGCTTGGTTCCGTATATGTCAGTTGTTTCAATTCATGTGATAATTAACTATAGTGGGGATGGCTTGTATGTAGTGCTTCCTTCAGTCATTAATATATAACATTTTTTTTCTATTTGTAAGTACTACTCACTTTGCCCAAAATATAAGAACCTATTATGATGAGATATTTTCTAGTAGATTTATAGTATTAGAAAATGTCTTATATTTATTCTATTTTTTTATATTATAGGATAGAGCGAGTATATGACTCCGCACTTCGTCTAGGTTAATTAAATAGCGCGACTCATAGCCCTACCCCGTTTGCCACTGTGCTAGCGTAATTATTTCACCATCAAGTACACAATGAAGAACGATCTCAAAATGGCCGGCGTATTAAGTTTTCAAGTCTATCTGTAATCTGTCGATGAACTTTCTCAATGCACGAGTCATGGAATGAGTACGGAGCGCCAGTCGGTCAATGACCGAATTGTTATACATTCTGTCATTATGATATTATTATATTTGTAAGAGCTCCAACGGTTAGCCTAATAAGTCAAAGCAAAAGTTAAAATTTAAAATTTTAAACTTGATTTTGAAGTTGGTTTTAAAATATTTTCAACGTAATTTCTTTTTAGCGTTAGGTTTTTAGTCGCTACGAACAAATATACAAAAGTTTTATCTATAAATTAATTTGTATTCTCTAATAAGTCGTTTTAGCTTATAAGGGAGTATGTGCCACCGGTGAGGCTCTAATATTGTAGTCTTAGTCTTTAGACCTATCTTCTATCTTTGTCGGCTCTAGCTAGTTTCTGCTTGTTCTTTACATTTACGTTTCTTTGGGAAGTTTCATTCATGGATACACCAATATATGCTTGGGTATTATCGATCTACCTAACGAACAAATCAAGGTTTGCAATCTCGAAGTTTGGTTTTTTTCGCGTGGGGGTGGGGGGGGGAAGAAATTTCTTAGCCGAAATTATTTGAAAATTTGACGAATGTTGAATGATTTTGAAGGAACTTTAACCAAATTCGAAAAAAAAATGGATAACAACCGAAAATTTTAGACGAGATTTGTGCTTGCCGTTGATCGGTGGAGGGCGAAATTTCGTTTCGAAATTGCAAATCACTGGAACAAACACTTGGTTCTTGTTCGTCGGAGTATAACCCTCTGGACGTGCTTTCTAGTCTGTTGTGTCAGTATCAGATTGCAAATCGTAAAATGATATCATTGAAGAGCATCAGCCAGAAGATCAATACAAACTGATCAATTATTTAAGTGGAAATATCTGTCAAGCTGTACTGTCCTTGCGTAGTTGTGTATTATCGAAGACCTTGACCAATATAGCCCCTAAACACACGGTAAAGACTAGACACCAAGCTTCAAGTCTGCAGTAGCGTACTGCATACGTACACTGATTAATTAGTGATCATCAACTGAGAGATTCTCACTCACTCTCCAAGTCACAGCCTCACTGAGTACTCATTAAACAAGCAATCACCACTCGTAAAGGCTAACGAAAAATGTCCAATAATAATACTAGTAATATTTTATTACTACTGCTCCTCTTCTTCTTGGGGTCCGGTGCTGAGCTCGATGACGGCGGCGAGCTCCAAACACTTCTAACCATCAAGAGAGATTGGGGTAGCCCTGCTGCACTCAGCTCATGGAAGTGAGAAACTCCAGTTCTTTCAGTCACTGTAATTGGGCAGGAATTGGTTGTAGAAATGGCCAGGTTACATCCCTCTCCTTCCACAACTTCCAAATAGCCAATCTAATCCCAGCTTCTATTTGTAGCCTCAAGAACCTGAAGTACTTAGACCTCTCTTTCAACAATCTCACCGGTGAGTTCCCTACGGCGCTCTACAGTTGCTCAGCTTTGCAGTTCCTTGACCTGTCCAACAATGAGTTCACTGGCAAACTTCCGGAACATGTTGACAAGCTGTCCTTGGGGATGCAGCACCTCAACCTGTCAAGAAATTCTTTCATCGGCGACCTGCCATCGGCTATTGGTCGGTTTTCCAAGCTCAAGTCGCTGGTGCTTGACAGTAACAATTTCAATGGGACCTATCAGGGTGCTGCCATTGGAGGTCTCGTGGAGCTTGAGATGCTAACATTGGCATATAATCCGTTCAAGGCTAGTCTAATTCCAAACGAGTTTGGCAAGCTGACTAAGCTGACATATCTGTGGCTATCATGGATGAACCTGATTGGTAACATCCCTAATGTTCTGTCAGCATTGACAGAGCTCGAGCTATTGGACATATCAATAAATAAGTTGGAAGGAAAAAATCCCAAAGTGGATATGGAAGCTTCAGAAGCTCGAGATGTTGTTCCTCTCCGGAAACAATTTCATTGGTGAGATTGGTTCTGACATCTCAGCTCTCAAATTGCAGGAGCTTGATTTGTCCATCAACAAGCTCACCGGATCAATACCAGAAGATATTGTGAACTTGAAGAACTTGAAAATTCTATACTTGTACTACAACAACCTCGTTGGACAAATCCCAAGTGGTGTTGGAATGCTGCCGAATCTTACCGACCTTCGGCTATTCACGTGCCATGGAGTGTTTCCGGTGAGCCTCGGGGACTGCGACACCATCCACATTATCAAGGCATCCAACAACCACTTTGTTGGGGACTTCCCAGAGAAAATATGGTCGTGTGCGATGCTTACCATAGTTATGATTGGAGGAAACAACTTCACCGGTACTCTGCCAAGTTAGATATCATCCAACATCTCGTAGATTTAGATAGGAAACAATAGGTTCTCTGGTGCAATTCCAACATCTTCTGCAACTGGACTCCATAGATTTTTAGCGAAAAATAATTTGTTCTCTGGCATGCTACCTCCAGACATGTCCAAGCTCGCCAACCTTGTCAGGCTGGATCTTTCTAGGAACCAACTATCTGGATTGATTCCAACATATTGTTAAACACAAAACCACCTGAGTATTTTATATGTTACTCTGTATTTTGCATGTTAGTTCAAGGCCAGAGAGGCAGAGATGCACACACACATTCATATCAAGCTCCATCTACTTTATTCGTCGTAGCCTTGTAGGAGCTATGGTGTGTGGGCAATGGTATTGAGTGGCTAATGTGCATCGTGGCCTACGTCTATGTTTTTTTTCTTTTAAGAATAAAGGTAATAAAGACCTAGCTTTTTATTGAAAGCCATCTAGATTTTGCTGGGGTTACCTGCTTAACATGATCACATGTTTAGGGGATGATAATCTGACTACTCGCTTACACCCTAAACAGGTATGCAAAACTCAAATAACATGTTCCATATATGAAAGCAAAATTGGCTGTGTACAACTGTACAACCGCTCTATGGATGTAGAGTCTGGTTTCAATCCATCTCATCATAAAAAAAAATGAAAGCTAATTAAGAGGTAGAAACAACAGAGCTAGCTATAAGCAGGAGTGCAGGAGCCTCCCCTGTGAGGTATGTACTGGAGTACCTAGCAAAAAGAACACCTACCAGAACTACTTTGATAAATGCAAACAGTGATGCTATTGTCGTTTGAACATGACTGATAAGTGTCTCTAGGACAGGGTTTTCAATTTTGATTTCGGCTAAAATTTCGGCCATTTTTATAGAACCGAAATTTAGGTTTTATTGGCTGAAATTTTCTAAAATTTTGATTAAATTCACAAAAAAATTGAGAAAACCCGAAAATATCGACCGAGATATTGACTTGCCGAGAGGGTTTTCGAAAGAGAGAATCCATTATATGCCACTGACTTTATCACAGGTCTATGATATACCATTGATTTTGTTACGTTTTACAATATATCATCGACTTTTGCTTAACTTCTACGATTTACCATCGCCATCGACTTTTGCTTAACTTTTATGTTCACTGAGTTAGTCTCCGTTAGTACTGTACAAATTTATCGAAATGACCAAAATACCCCTGGGACAGAAACTTTCAAAAATTTTGAAATATCGGATTTTAAGTTTTTGCCAAATTTTGGATATTTACAATCTTATGTTTATAATATGATATTTTAGAATTTTTATTCAAATTTCGGAAGTTTTTTTCTAGGAGTATTTTGGTCATTTGGGCAAAATTGTACGGTGCTAATGGAGGATAACCGGACGGCGATGGTAAATCGTAGAATTTAAGCAAAAATCGGTGGCATATTGTAGAATGTGATAAAGTCAGTGGCAACTCATAGATCTGTAATAAACTCAGTGGCATATAATAGATTCTCTCTTTCCGAAATTACCAGAATTTCGGAAATTTTGAAACTAAAATTACAATCCCTGCTCCAGGGCTGCATTGTTCATAAGGATGTAGTACGTCGTAGCATCTTCCACTGCAAGAGTAAAGACATGATTCGAAAGACAACAATTAGCGACGTGTCCATTTTGCAGCTTTATCGGTCTATAAAATTATTAAGGGTGAGTAATGCTGTGAAAATCAAAATTTTATAGTATAAATGTATGGACGGATTAACTGGTATGAACACGTCCTCGGCCCCAAGGCCCAACAGCCCAAGGCTAACATTCTGTCTTGGCCCATTACGCCTACTTTCCATTGCTGTCAAGATATTCTTATGGAACTTGTCGAGAAAACAGAAAGAAATCAGTCCAGCAAACGCAACAGGCAGCATTATATATCAGCCTTGCTAATAATAAACGGCATCAATTGTCTCTAATTACAGAAATACCGGCTCGGGTTACAATTATCTATTTATAGCCAGCATCAATTACGATAATTAACATTATCTAAAAAAATTGCGATAATTAACACTATTCACGAGGCCTCTATATAAATAGATCATCTACTCGTCCAGTACGAGAGCCTGCAGATTATATTCTTCTCTAAAAGATCATCGAGCCCTGCAAAAATCAGACCACAAATAATGGAGATGAAGAACGTCGATTCTCGGTTGCTGTTTCTGCTGCTGCTGATCATCGGATGCGCTGCTGTTCCTGCAGTGCAATGTAAGGGCAATCCTAATTAGAAATTATCGACTCTGGGCTACGGCGGGAGCCAAACGCCTAGTGCAGATATTGCCTTAGTGTCTATTCGATCTTTGTAAATATTACCTTTTCTCCTTACATGTAAATATTGCTCCCTGCTTTATTCAATGAATGGCAAGCATTGCCGTCGTTCAAAAAAAAAACTATATACTCAGCGGGTGTGGTTGGTTCAACATAAACTCTCATCCAATCACCTCTCTTATCTCTCCTTTTTTTTTATCTATTGTTTTCATTCTTGATTTATGTGTAGAGGTAGTTTCTTACTAATGATTTCTTCATCTTTTTTCATCTCTCCTCATTAACTTTTTAGATACCTCGGTTTTTGTTTTACATGAAAATGCATTTAACACTATAAAAATTAGATGAGATGGAACGTTGAGTGCCCTTAGTTTATCTCCACATATATTGTTAATTGACTTTGTTTCTTTTGGTGGAGGTGAACTTAATGATTCGAAAAGGATCTCTTAGCATGAACACCTAATAAATCTTATGCAAAATAGGGTAGAACAAAGGGTGGATTATTGACCAGAATTGTTGATGCCATTAATTGTTCGTGGTTCAAAAGCCTCTGTTGATGTAGGTGTTAGTGTAGTGCAGATTCACCTGCAGCAGAAAACTCAACGCCAAAATGGATTAGCACTGGTGCATGTGGACCTTAATTAAGATCGATGGCGTATGTATATGGTTTTGGGGGTGGCTTAAATCAAAGTCCAAACATCTTTTTAATTAGTCTCGAGAATACTGATCAATATATATACAGAAAATTCCTTAGGTTCCTCGGAGTTTTCAATTAAATTTTTCCCCTAAATTTTGTTTCGTTCCTTACGTGTCTGAGTTCTTGATTATTTTGGATTCCAATTTCCAATCCGTGCATTCTAAACCCTTGAAGCCCAGACACCTTAAAGCACCATATGACCGTCCTATATACATCTAGCTAGTCGACTGCGAGTTAACCGTTAGACTCTTTTAGAAATAATAATTAGCATACTTCCTCTGTTTTATATTATAAGACTTTCTAGCATTGTCTACATTCATATAGATGTTTGCTATAAAAGTCTTATAACCTGATGAAACGGAGGGAGTAGCTTCAAGGTGAAAAAGATTCGTTTATGAAAAGAAAAAAACAAATGGAGCAGACCAAAAATTTAATATTTGTAAATATTTTTAAATGTTTCCACTGAAATTTAAACCCAACTGAAAAAAACTTTGCCTTTTCAGTTTCTTGGTGAATCTTTTGTATGTGTTTCATCAAATTCGTAAAAAAAAACTATTTTCTATATTTGGGGTCATAATTATGTCCAGTTTGATTTTATCACAATTCTTTTTAGATTATGTTTACAAAGTAGAAAGCATAAGTACGTATGACATATAAGTCATTTTGAAAAAATCTAACAGTCAACTAATAGAATAGATATAAAGGAGATAAAAAAAACGCAAGGACATGTAAAGATAAGATAAAATTCATGAATATAGAAGGGATTCTTTGAGCAATTTGTTTCTATATTCTTTGTGCAAGTTCCATTTAACCATCATTTTCACCATAGCATACATATGTGTCTGTGCTAATGATTTAATTATTGTTTTGACGTTGTAATTAATTAATTAATATTTAATAGGCCGGAGCAATGGTGACATGTTGGGAGAGAAGATCAACATACCACCTGGGCCGCTATGTGCAAAGCGACCAGACCTCTGCAAGAACTGCTGGTGTTGTGAGGTCAGCGACGGGCAATGCTACCAGAGTCTCGAGGCCTGCCAGGTCAACTGCCCATTACCATCGCCACCGGCCATTTGATCAGATCTCGATCGATGCATCATATCGTTTGTGTGATAATAAGCTGATCAATCAACCAATAAAGAAGGCATTAATTAAGTATCGTACTCTGTTCGTTTTGGAAATAAAATGCTGATGCCATCAATGGATGCATCATGCATGCATGAATTAATGTTCTGGAAAATATGTGATAATCACATGTCGTGAAAACTTGAAAACAACCTTGGATAAAATAAAAGGACACCTGATATTTATCCACGTTATTTAGAGTAAAAATTTTACTTGCGGATTTAATCATGAGTAAAAATTTTACTATTGATGACGTGGATAAATCTCATACGTTCATTTTTAAATCCAACGGTAGCTTTCAGGTTTGTACGTGATATATTTTCCTTCTTAATAACGTTTATAGTGCCAGATATGGGACAATTGATCTTTTGTCCATATTTTAAAGTCTAACTATAACTATACACATTTGACCCTACATTTTTAACTTTGCTTATTTGATCTTATTTTTTTTAAATCGAAGTTGTTATTTGGCCCTATTGTATAGGAATAGATTTAGAAGAAAATAAAAAATGAATTTAGAGAGGGAAGAAGACTTAACTGCCCCCTGTGATTTACCAAAGCACATACGCGCGGCTAGAGTTACATGGGCGCGGAGGAGACCAATCTCATGAGCACAGAGCCAATCTCGGTCAGCAACCAAATTGTTACACATTCTGATATGCAATACTTATATTATTATAGTCTTTAGACTTATCTTTGTCGGCTTTAGTTTCTGCTTGTTCCTTGGATTTACATTCTTCGGAAGTTTCAATAACGGATCCACCAATATCTGATTTAGACAGATTATTGTGTGCTTTGGTGAAGAATTAGTACTTAACTGGCCCCCGCGTCATCCTCCCTTACGGGCGATACGGGAGGCAGAAACCACCGCCATCGTCCGCTCCCCCTCTTTCCTCCTCCGCCTCGCCGCCGCCCGAGCGGCCGCAAGGACGGCGGCGGCAGGGCTTCGTTTCTCTCACTCGCCAACGGTGGGGGACCGTGCGGGATGGTGAAGGCCGCCCAGATCCGGGCCGTCGCAGTCGGATCTTGCAGGGACACAGCCGGCGGCAGGGTAGTGTGATGAGGCGGCGGCGGTTGGCAGTGGTGGCGGTGGAGTATGAAGGTGGTGGCGATGAAGGAGAAGAGAGGGGATCCGTCGGCGGCGGGGATGAAGATGGCGGCGAGGATGGCGACAGCGGGCAGGACTCGGTCACGCCGAAAGCGGATCCGGCCCCCTGAGGACGGATCTGGTGCAGGGCGAGGTTGCAGCGGTAGCGGCGCGGCGGAGCTGCGGCGACGGTGTCGGTCGCAACGGCGCAGACTTCGTGGTGACGGTGACGGTGGCAACGGCGTGGAGCTTGTGGCGATGGTGGCGGCAGCGGTTGGACGGCGGCGACAGCACGGTGGCTGGTCGACGGAAACGGCGGCTGCCGGCGGCTGTGGCAACGGGGTGCACTCACGGTGGTGATAGCGGCGCGGAGCTCGTGGCGACGGTCGCGGCTGGACGGCGGCGAGGGGGCTACGGCTAGTCGGCGGCGAGGTGTCCGTTGGCAGCAGCGGCTGCGGTGGTGGTGACCGTATCTACGGTTGGAGGAGGCATGGCAGTCTCGGACAGCTAACCGGGGGTGTGGCAGACGGCCGCACCTGGCCGGCGTGGTAGCGATTGGAGGGGTCGGAGGCCAGCTTGGTGCAGAGAGGCGCAGCCGATGGCAGTGGAGGCCAGTAAGGCGCAAGAGGCGTGGCCGGCGGCGAGGAGGCCCGCTTGGAGCGAGAGGCGTTACCGATGGCGGGAGGCCGAACTGGCGCGAGAGGCGCGTCCGGTGGTGGAGGCCGGCGCAGCACGATGAGGTGCGGCCGGCAGTAAAGGAGGCAACCACGGTGCGATATGGAGCTGCCGGGGGTGTGGCGCGGTCTTGGGTACACGAAGGCTGGCTGGAGGGGGCACCGGTGCAGTGGTCCCACATGTCAGCAGAGGTTGAGTGGTGGTAAAGCATTGGTGCGACAACCATGGACTTGCAGGTGATGAGCGGCGGGTGAAAACCCAGCCCGGCCTTTGCCGGACCGACAACAATGGTTCATTCCCCCTCCTAAGGGCGTTGTCGTGCCGTCTCATCCCTTAAGGGTGTTTGCCGGGCGAAAGCCCAGTCTTGACTCTTTTGAGTCCTTGACGGACGGCGGCAGTGGTTTTCCATCGCTTCTCTCCTTGGAGACATCGTTTAGGCATCTCCTTGTCGAAACCACTCGAACGATTGGTGCAAGCACACTCTAGATAGAGTTAGGCTTTGTGTTGGTTGTAAGGGCGTTTTTGGGCATTTTCGTCTGTGTTCCTTTGTTGGCCTAGCGGCGGTCGGTCACGCTTAGCGGCAACCGGTTCGGTGCTAGTCTTCTCTCGGACCTGTGTGTTGGTGGTGGTATATTTTTTCTCTTTTTCCTGGTTACGACCTTCTAGGAATGTAATCTTGTAATTTTTTTTTCTGCTTTATCAATAGAACTTCGCATCGTCTCGTGCGAGTCGCTCAAAAAAATATCTACTTTAGAGAATCAGGTTCTTAGGCCCTGTTTAGTTTGCGAGACGAAAAGTTTTGGTGTGTCACATCGGATATACGGGAACACATTTGAAGTAATAAACGTAGACTAATTACAAAACATATTACAGATTCCGCTTGTAAACTGCATGACGAAATTATTAAGCCTAATTAATTCACCATTAGCAAATGTTTATTGTAGCATCACATTGTCAAATCATGGAGCAATGAGGCTTAAAAGATTCGTCTCGCAATTTATACGCAATCTATGTAATTAGTTTTTTATCTATATTTAATAATCCATGTATGCGTCCAAACATTCAATGTGATAGAGTGAAAAGTTTTTGTTTGGGAACTAAACAGGGCCTTATTCATCTGAAAGCCTGAAACTTATGTCATTATCAGATTGCAAATCATAAAATGGTACTCACACCGTCCCAAAATATAAGCATTTTTGACCTTAAAACAATCTTTGAGACGCTACTCTGACCAATAATATCTATAAAATTAAGTCGTTTTAAATAAAAAGATATATATATTATGATATTTTGTTTAATGATAAATCTAGTAGCATCAATTTAAAATGATCTTTTTTATTTTTTTCACTATTAATGGTCAAAATTAAAATTGTTTGACTTAGCATTATTTTAAAAATGCTTATATTTTAGGATGAAGGGAGTAGTATTCTTGAATACCATTATCAAATATCAATTATTTATGTGGAAAAATATGTCGAGCTCAAACTGTCCTTTTGCATTATCGATGACCTTGACCAACATAGCCCCAGCACACACGGTAAAGACTAGAGACGGCCAGCTGCAAGTCTGCACTAGCGTACTGCATACGTACTGAAATTGGTAGCTTCTCACTCTCCAAGTCAGTCTCACAAGTCCACATTAAACAAGCATCACCACTCGTAACTAGTAACAAAAAATGACCAATAGTACCGATAATCTTTTGTTACTACTGCTCCTCTTCTTCTCCGGCTCCAGTGCGGAGCTTGATGACGGCGGCGAGCTCCAAACGCTTCTGACCATCAAGCGGCATTGGGGTAGACCTGCTGCATTCAGCTCATGGGAGGTGAGAAGTTCTAATTCTTTTGGTTACTGTGATTGGGTAGGAGTTGCTTGTACAGATGGCCAGGTTACGTCCCTCTCCTTCCAGAGCTTCCAAATAGCCAATCCAATCCCAGCTTCTATTTGTAGCCTTAAGAACCTGAAGTACTTAGACCTCTCTTACAACAACCTCACCGGTGATTTCCCCACAGTGCTCTACAATTGCTCAGCTTTGCAATTCCTTGACCTGTCAAACAATGAATTGACCGGAAGCCTTCCTAGCAACATCGACAAGTTGTCCTTGGGGATGCAGCACCTCAACTTGTCAAGCAATTATTTTATTGGTGATGTTCCCTCGGCTATTGCCAGGTTCTTGAAGCTCAAGTCACTGGTCCTTGACACTAACAGCTTTAATGGGAGCTATCCAGGTGCTTCCATTGGAGGCCTTGTGGAGCTTGAGATACTGACGTTGGCATCCAACCCGTTCATGCCGGGTCCAATTCCGAATGAGTTTAGCAAGCTTACAAAGCTGACATATCTGTGGTTATCCTGGATGAATCTGACTGGTGACATCCCTGATGCTCTGTCAGCATTGAAGGAGCTCATACTATTGGATTTGTCAAAGAATAAGATGCAAGGAAAGATCCCGAAGTGGATATGGAAGCTTCAGAAGCTCGAGATGTTGTACCTCTTTGCAAGCAATTTCAGTGGCGAGATTGGTCCTTACATCTCAACACTCAATATGCAGGAGCTTGATCTATCCATGAACAAGCTCACCGGATCAATACCAGAGGACATTGCAAACTTGAAGAACTTGAGACTGCTATACTTGTACTACAACAACCTCACTGGATCCATTCCAAAAGGTGTCAGTATGCTTCCAAACCTTACCGACATTCGGCTCTTCAATAATAAGCTCTCCGGGCCCTTACCCCCTGAGCTTGGGAAATATTCAGAATTGGGAAATTTTGAGGTGTCCAACAACAACCTGTCTGGTGAGTTGCCTGATACGCTCTGCTTCAACAAAAAGCTCTACGACCTTGTGGTGTTCAACAATAGCTTCTCCGGCGTGTTCCCAATGAACCTTGGGGACTGCGACACCATCAACAACATCATGGCATACAACAACCACTTTGTCGGGGACTTCCCTGAGAATATATGGTCATTCGCAAAGCTCATCAACATCATGATTTACAACAACAACTTCACCGGCAATCTACCGAGTGAGATATCATTCAACATCACTAGAATTGAGATAGGGAACAATATGTTCTCCGGTGCCCTCCCATCCGCCGCCATCGCCCTGAAGAACTTCATGGCGGAGAACAACCAGTTCTCTGGAGCACTACCAGATGACATGTCAAGGTTCGCTAATCTCACCGAGCTGGACCTTGCTGGGAATAGGTTGTCCGGCTTGATTCCACCATCTATGCAATCTTTGACAAAGCTGACCTCCCTCAACCTTAGCAGCAACCAGATTTCCGGAGAGATCCCTGCAGTACTTGGGTTAATGGATCTAAACATTCTTGACCTTTCGAACAACAAGCTCACTGGTCACATACCTCAGGAATTCAATGATCTACATGTCAACTTTCTCAACCTCTCATCCAACCAGCTCTCCGGTGAGGTCCCAGCAGCATTGCAAACGCTAGCATACGAGGACAGCTTCTTGGATAACCCTAGTCTCTGTTGTCAATCAGAATCCGGCATGCACATCAGGACATGTCCCTGGAGTCAAAGCATGAGCCATGATCACCTTGCACTGAGCATAAGAGCCATATTGGTCATTCTTCCTTGCATTACTCTTGCTAGTGTCGCCATCACCGGATGGCTTCTCCTCCTCAGGCGCAAGAAAGGTCCACAAGATGTCACGTCGTGGAAGATGACACAATTCAGAACGATAGATTTCACCGAGCATGACATCGTCAGCAATATCAGCGAGTGCAATGTGATTGGTAGGGGTGGCTCAGGGAAAGTGTACCGTATCCACCTTGGCGGCGACATCAAGGCGGGACGACATGGCGGTGGCTGTACCCCAAGGACGGTGGCCGTGAAGAGGATCGGCAACACCAGCAAGCTGGACACGAACCTCGACAAGGAGTTTGAGTCGGAGGTGAGGACGTTGGGTGACCTCCGGCATAGCAACATCGTCGACCTGCTCTGCTGCATCTCTAGCCAGGAGACGAAGCTGCTCGTCTACGAGCACATGGAGAACGGGAGCCTGGATCAATGGCTGCAACGCTACAAGCGAGCCGGCAAAAGCGGGCCGTTGGACTGGCCGACAAGGGTGGCCATCGCCATTGATGTTGCTAGAGGCCTCAGCTACATGCATGAGGATTTTGTGCAGCCGGTCATCCACCGCGATGTCAAGTGTAGCAACATTCTTCTCGACCGCGAGTTCAGGGCCAAGATCGCTGATTTTGGGCTTGCTCGTATCCTTGCCAAGTCTGGTGAGTCGGAATCGGCCTCCGCCGTCTGTGGCACCTTTGGCTACATTGCTCCAGGTATCTACTATATTTATATAACTTTTATCATGCTCTCTACTGTAGTAGAAATGATTTCAACTTATATGTATTTTAAGCGAAGTCTTCATATCTTTATCACCTTAATTAATTATTGGAAGTAGAAGCGATAGGGTATAGTTGACCAATTTCGGCTAAAAAATTCCTACTACTATTTCTATTTGTATTAGAACACTTCCAGCAAAGGGTTTATTAAAGTACTCATTTATTTTTGTCGCAATCTACACTAGAGGGCACATAGACAATATCATAATGTTCCATTATAATCTGTCTGAATTTGAGGTGTGCATACATTTGGTGTATTAATTTGCTTATTGCAGAGTACGCATACAGGTCAAAGGTAAGCGTTAAGGTGGACGTATACAGCTTCGGTGTGGTGCTGCTAGAGCTGGCCACCGGCCGAGGGCCGCAAGATGGTGGCACGGAGTCTGGCAGCTGCTTGGCCAAATGGGCATCGAAGCGGTACAACAATGGTGGCCCGGTCGCCGACTTGGTCGACGGCGAGATTCAGGATCCTTCCTACCTGGATGACATGGTGGCCGTGTTCGAGCTCGGCGTGGTTTGCACCAGTGAGGAGCCGGCGTCGAGGCCTCCGATGAGTGATGTTCTCCACCGGCTCATGCAGTTTGATCATAGCGGAACACATAGCGATGGCGTAGTAGCTAAAGGCGTGTTTGACATCGATGATTCTTCGGATTGTATTGTTTAATTTGGATATTGAGATGATCAACCATGGGTCAAACAGTCCCAGTACGAGTGAATTGTCCGTTCTTCTCAACAAACCAAAGATTTTAAGATGAACTGACTACTCTGTGTGCAATTCAACAAGATGCATGGTTGTGCAAACAGTTGGATTAGCTTGAGTCATCGTTAGATTCATACTATGACCAGTAGAGGACACCGTCAAAGTGTTTTCGTATAGGATATTAATCCTGCCTAGGTCTGGCCTTCCACTTTCACTCAACTCCGAATCCTCTACAAATAGAGCTGCAAATAGAGGAAGAATTAATGATCAGGTGTTGTGGAAGCTCATAGACTAAAGTTGCTTTCTCTGTGTCTACAGCAAGGTGAGAGATCAAGCCTGCGCAAGCTAGCTAATATGGAAGATAAGCGCACTGTCAAATGTCAAATTCTTCATCTGGTTGGGGAAAAAATGCCTCATAGCCGATAATCTCCTCAAAAGAAATTGGCCACATCAACGGAGTTGCCATCTATGTGCTTCAGCTCACAAAGATTGAAGCATTTGTTCGTCTCTTGCGTTTTTATATATATATATATATATATATATATATATATATACCAACAGAATTTGGAGTGTTGAAAGCCTGGGTGGGTATATCCCTTTTCAACTTACACGACATGGGTGAGTGGTGGTGGCGGTGCTTTTCGGATGAACTACAGGAAATCCTTCAACACGTTCTTCATGTTGGTCTGCTGGTCGATTTAGAAAGGAGAGAAATGCCAGCGTGTTTGAGGGGTACCGTCTTGCACGCTTGGGCAGTCATTTGGTGAAACGGTTTTGCTATGTCCCTTTGTGTTAGATTTTTGGGCTCCTGTCTTAGATGAAAAAAAAAATCCTTAGCAGTTACACTTATACACTTAGTTATAGCGCACTTACACTCTGTTACAATGTACTTACATTTTTTAGCTACAGTGCATCTAAATTAGATTTTTTTTTTCAACAGTGTTTTTTCTCTAAATTTATGATTTTTTGGCATATTTGTCTTTTTTGTTATTTTATTTAAAATGGGTTGTATAGATTGGTTGAAATTTCTGTAAGATTTGAAGCTCCAAATCTATCAAAAAATCAATAGGTTTTCAAATCCTTGGTGAAATCAAAGATGAAGTATTACTTTCAAAGAGAGCAAGAGTTTTCAAATCCTTTTCTAAGTAGCTCCGGTAATGTAAGTGTTAAGTTTCTCTAGTGATTCATCACTAGCCTCAACAGTGTTATGTCGATGTCAAGTACTTCGTCGTAAGAAAACCCTTCCTAACCTTAATCAAAATGGTTGCCCTTCTTCAGCCAACCCATCTAAAAACATATGACTAGGGCTGCTGCTCTTTCCAATTCATTTTTTATGTTTTGGACAACGACACGTCCTCCAAAACACATCTTTAATTATATTTTTTATTGTGATAAGAAATTTGCCACAGAAATTATATAGGGATAAACAAACTAAAAAAATGTGTCTTTACAAACACTTTTCTTTGTTAAATTTTCTATAGGAGATTGGGAAAATCCTCAAGTACTCCATCCGTATGAGCTTTTGGAAATTCAATAGGCCCAACCTCTCGAGCTACTCTATTTATCCTCCACCTTATCTCTTGGCGCTAATAGGTGTTTAGTAGCCTCTCTAGTCATATTCAAACCAAGCCTCTCTAGTCATATTCAAACCACCTGTCGTCGATTTGATAGTGCATTGGATTTACTACTAGTTGATTATTAAGGGTGGACTTCTTTTTCTCACAAGTATAAAATTAAGTTTAAGGCGATTTCAATTTCGAATTATCATAGTCGTTTCATAACTGGTTAGGAAGGATATGACACAAAATAGTTATACTTTAATAACGTAATATTTAACTGAAACAAATAAATTCACAAGGTAAATATAGCATAAATATAGGCACATATAAGATTATATATTCTATCCTCTCCTGTCATTAATATGCGTTATTTTTAATAATAACGTCATATGTTAAAAGACCGGAGAGAGTATATATATACAAAATTGAAGTATTACTAGTACCTGTTTTATCTACCTTATCCCCAGTACCCCACTCCTCCCCTCTCTCTCTATATATATATATACAACCGCATATGCTATGCAAAAGCATCCAGCAATCAGATTATCATTTACATATTAAATATCCAAAGAGTACGTAAGGGTAGTAGTAAAATCTAGCATGGTGAAGTGCGGTAATGGACATGTCTATGCAGTACTAATGCTGCTGCTTCTTGGGTGCTTTGCTATCCATGCACAATGTAAGTGTTTCAATTTGTTTGTTTTTCAACAAAATTTGAAATCCTATTTTGCCTATACTGATTTTACCCTTTCATATACTAATCCTTTTTTTAAAAAAAATTCTTTTGACAAATAGGCTGTGCCATGGATGACATGTTCGGGGAGAAAATTAATTTGCCACCGTCGCTGCCGTGCACACAAGGATCGAACACAGAGAAATGCAGAGACTGCTGGTGTTGTATGCTCGTTGAAAACGATATCTGCTATCCGTCTTTGGACCTTTGCAAAGCAAGCTGCGGAAAGATAATAAATTGATAAGTGCTAATGTACTGTGATGAGACAATTTAGCAACAACTAATTCGGAATAATATGGAGATGTATGTTGTGTTGGAATTCTTGCATGCTGGTAATAGTTGCTAATTAGTTTTTGTGGTTGAAATGCTGCTAAACTAGCTAATCGTGTAGTATAGGGCTGTTCATTTTGATGCTATTTTCAACCTTATTAAATTTTGGTAAAGTTATAAAAAAAAGTGGCTACATTTAGTTTGCTGTCAAATTTTGATACCTATATAAGAAATCCTGCCAAATTTTGGCAACTATGCCAAAATTTTGGCCTTTTTTTGGCATCAAATGATTTGATGTGAAAAAAAATAAGATAAAGGAACATGTGAAGCATGGAAGTTTAGCCGCCTTGTTGGGCCCACCGATTATGGGCTGAACTGCATGACATGGGGCCGAATATAGGCCTACGTTATCGTGGCCTTTGGGACCCATGAGATGAGTCGATCATAATAGTTTTGATAATTGTTTTGGAACGAATGAATTGTTAATTGGAATGCACATGTAAAATAATAAGGGATTAAAAATCATAAGAAAATACAGAAATAGTCGTTCGATTAGGCCGTGAACAAAATGCAGGAATCAAATAAAAGAGATATACTCAAAGTAAATATTCCAAGAGGTTGAAATTCTTGCTAACTTTTCGCTAGAATTTCTATAGTACTGTCCATTCTGTAAGAAATTTAAAACAAAGGATGTAATTGAATATTTTATTTTAAAGACCTTTACATGATTTCTTTTATATGATTAAAATTATCCAAATTCATCTTTTCCTAAAGGGGGCCTAAATATTGTTGCCGTCATCTGAATAGGATCACTACGATAGAAAAAGGGATCGGTGCCGGATTTCCTAATCGGCACCTAGCATGCAGCACCTTTGAGGATGACTCTAAGATATTGGTTTAGGAACCGACACCTTTGAGATTCTAGGAATAAAAAAAGCAAAAAAAGAAGGCAAAATTGGTTATATAGCATCGAAAGTTCACGTTTTTGGTTTTATAACACCGAAAATTACTAGTTCACTTTAATAGCATCTAAAGTTCACCCTGTTCCCATTTTTAGCACTTCCGTCAATTTTCCGTCCGTCTTGATCGTTATTGATCCAGCCACACACATGATATGACATTTCTACCCCTCATTGACATGCATTATACTTGTACTTGTGAGGGGTAGAAACGTCATATCGTATGTGTGGCTGGATCAAGACGGACAGAAAACGATCGAGAATTGACGAAAGTGTTAAAAATGGGAACATGGTGAACTTTGAGTGCTATTAAAGTGAACCGGTAACTTTTGGTGCTATAAAACCAAAAACGTGAACTTTCGATGCTATATAACCAATTTTGCCAAAAAAGAAAGTTGGCTCGATGCATCAGCTTGAATTGAGCCAATGAATCGAGGAGCTCTCTATCATCAATGAGATCAATATCATCCCCATCAACCAAACACAATTAAAATCATCACTGAAATCAACATCATCCCATCAACCAAACTCAATCACAAAATCAACAAAATTGCAAACACAAGCACACGCCGCCGCCACTGCCGTCGATACGGCCTTCCCCCATTGTCGATTCTGCCACCCTCGTCATCGCATTGTCGATCGATCTGCCCCCCCGCCCTCACGCGCGGCAGCAGATCCGGTACCTATGAGCTGTCACCTATTAAGGTTTTTGTAGTAGTGGATGACTATATTTTAGCAATGCAAATTTAACCAGCGATAGCAGTACATGTAGCAATAAAAGTGATGCATCTATAATAAGGGAACATATTTTGTGCACACAACCTTCTCGTGCACAGTCCGTACACACCAACTAATATATGTCACCAAAAAATCTAAAAAAAATTGTGCATATTACTTTCAATAATATTACACCTATGTGTAAAATAATCTTAACCTCAAATTCATTATATTTTAGAAAAAAAAATATCTGACAGTTGTAAGACTATAAATTATAATTTTGTCTTTTGCTCTCTATATATGATGAATTTAAAGATGAAATTTTATATGTAGTTATAAAATATTGAAAATACATGTATAAAAATGTTTCTAGAATTTTTTTGACATTTGTTAGTTGGTGTCAGCTGAAACTAATGCCATTTGTTCTAGTACATGTACATGTGTGAATTTTACAGCAAGTAACACTAGTACGCTAGACCTTGTGACACCAGTGGATTGCTTTGGGCGTTGGCCAGTAAAAAAGTTAATTAGTGACAACAGGAGCGCAGCAGCAGGTCCTGCTTCAAGCTCTCCTTCCGCAAGACGGCCAACTGGAGTTGTAGCGTTGAGCAGCATTTGTAAGATTTTGTTTGTTGTTATACCTGCCAAAAATGGCCAATTATTGATCTGATTTCAATTTAATTAGTTCCGTTCTAACCTACTCACCAAGCTGACAAGCCAATTAGGCCCTGTTTCTTTCAGCTTTGGATTATTATAATCTAGTTTATTGAGTCAGATTACTATAAGCTAGATTGTTATAATCTGTAGTAGAATAAGCGGTTAGTTGTTTCTTTCCTAGATTATTAGAGCCTAGATTATTGGGTTTGCCAGTCTAAAGAGGGAGTGGGGTGGCATGGTGGGTAATTTTTCACCCAATAATCTGGAAAAAGCTAAACTAAATGAGCTTATCAGATTATAATAAGCTACTTCAATAAATTGTCTGTTTCTTTCAGCTTACTTCCAATAATCCGGATTATAATAATCCCAAGCTAAAAGAAACAGGCCTGAGTAGTTGGATTGAAGTTAATCAAGGTTAGTTAAGAGCAGGTAATCAGGGTTAGTTAAGCAAATGGGGCTATGTTAATTAAGCAAATGAGGAGGTTATATAGGGGTGGGTAGGGCACTGGCCAGGCCTCCCTGGCTTCGCCCCTAGTTTCAAGTTATTTTTTTATGGATATAACAGGTTGCATTAGATAAAATATAAATACAGTGACATCCAAAATCCTTGTAATGTTTTAACAGCTGCAGATGCTCATTTTCTAGACAAGTTTATTTTTTTACCATTTTTATATATCACAGTTTTAAGTTATATTTTGATGGCTATAACAGGTTGGATTAAACAAAATATAAATGTAGTGACATTCAAAACCACAAGCATAGTGTCTAATTTTTAAATAAAAATAAAACATGCAAATGTTGTGTTTGGTTTACCGATTGAAATACCAAGTCTGATAACTGTTTCACAAGATTCGCCACCACCTCTCTTTTCTCCGGCCAGCATCGCACTCACCCTTATTTTCCTCCGTCCTTTATGGAGAAATCGCCGAGCGTTACGTAAGACATGTGGCAGGGAGCTAAAAGGTCGGATTAGGTAATCCGCGTTGTGACGCTTTCTTGAATGAATTAGGAATCTCATCAGTGTCTTTCAATCTCACGCAAGTTGTTTAAATTCTTAGCTGGCGCAGCTAATTGGTGATGCTTTTAAGGTGGATACTGTTATTTTTTTTTAAGTTTGTTTTTAGCATGGCCAATTTCGTTGCAATCGGCCGTTATCGCAATGGGCAAAACCCATTTTCCCTTGTGACTGTAAACCAATCTCTTTTACATTTGACTTACTAACAATCTTATTACTTGGTAGAGTGCTGGCGAAGTTGTTAATATAAATCTTGACAGTGGTGAGCAACTGGTTGCCGGCGAGGTTCAACATGGTGAGGTTGGCGAGCCTAGACATGTCAGTTGGCAGTTCACCGGAGAACTGGTTGTTCTCCGCCGTGAAACTCTTCAGACCGACGGCGGCCGACGGGAGGGCACCGGAGAAGCGATTGTTCCCCATCTCAATCCTTAAGATGTTAAATGATATCTCACTAGGTAGAGTGCCGGTGAAGTTGTTGTAAATCATGACATTGGTGAGCAACTCGAATGACCATATCTTCTTGGGAAAGTCCCCAACAAAGTGGTTGTTGTATGCCATGATGTTGTTGATGGTTTTGCAATCCCCAAGGTTCGTCGGGAACACGCCGGAGAAGCTATTGTTGAACACCACAATGTCAAAGAGCTTCTTATTGAAGCAAAGTGTATCCGGCAGCTCACCAGAGAGGTTGTTGTTGGACACCTCAAAATTCCCCAATTCCGAATGCTTTCCAAGCTCCGCGGGTAGGGGCCCAGAGAGCTTGTTATTGAAGAGACGGATGTCAGTGAGGTTCGGCATCATACCAACACCAGCCGGGATGGGTCCAGTGAGATTGTTGTAGTACAAAAATAGTAATCTCAACTTCTTCAGGTTTGCAATGTCCTCTGGTATTGATCCAGAGAACTTGTTCATGGACAGATCAAGCTCCTGCAGGTTGAGAGCTGTGATGTTAGGACCAATCTCGCCACTCAAATTGCTTGCATAGAGATATAGATTCTCGAGTTTCTGGTGCTTCAATACCCACTCGGGAATTTGTCCCTGCATCTTATTTTGTGACAAGTCCAGCAGTGTGAGCTCTGTCAGTGACGATAGATCATCAGGGATGGTCCCAGTCATGTTCATACATGATAACCACAACAACTTCAGCTTTGTGAGATTGCCAAACTCTTTTGGGACTGGACCCGGCTCAAACGGGTTTTTCGCCAGCGTCAGCGTCTCAAGCTCCAAAAGGCCTCCAATGGCGGCACCCGGGTAGTTCCCATTGAAGCTGTTAGTGTCAAGTACCAATGACTTGAGCTTCGAGAACCTTCCAATAGCCAACGGCACATCGCCGGTGAAAGCATTGCTGGACAGGTTGAGGTGTTGCATCCCCAACGATAGCCTGTCAATGCGGTCCGGAAGTTTGCCGGATAATTGATTGTTGGATAGGTCAAGGAACTCCAAAGCTGAGCAACCGTAGAGCACCGTGGGGAAATCACCGGTGAGATTGTTGAAAGAGAGGTCTATGTAGGTTAGGTTCTTGAGTCTACAAACGGAGGGTGGGTTTGGTCTGGCTATATGGAAACTTGGCAAGGAGAGGCCAGTGACCTGACCTGTGATATTGTTGTAGATAACACCAGTCCAGTTGCCGGTGCTGCTCCATGAACTGAGTGGAGCTGGGTTGTCCCAATCTTGCTTGATTGCTAGGAGTAGTGTTTGCTCGTCGGCGCTGGGCTGCGCCGCCGATTGGGAGTTGGAGATGGAGAAGATCAATAGTAGTAGAAAGAGGATGAGGATGCTGTAGACAACCATTTTTGCGAGTGTGGTGTGTTCTTGGATGTTACATGGCGTCCACTTAAATAAGGTTGGCGGAGAGAACGACAAAAAAGTGGTCACTACCTCACTGGTCAAGTCTTCGGCGTGGTAGCTTCAATCCTCCAGTGAGCGAAAGTCGAAAGATAACCTGGTAGAAACATGTGAGTTGTCGGTTGAGCACTATGCTATCCTCTTTGGTCCAACTTGAATGTATTTAAGATTAGAAGAATGAAAAAGATGATCACCTTCTGGTGTGGTACAAGACAATTACTTGGAAGGAGGGACATGAATTGCCTTTTCCTAGTCGAAATGTTCTTATTCTGTTCTATCGAAAGTCTTTTTATGCTTTACATAATATGTGTTCTGTCACGAGAACGGGGCTTGCGCACGTCTGTGTCAGCAGGTTGTGGACAAAGAGGTGACTTCGCCCGCTTATCCTATTGACAGGGCTTGATGACTGATGAGTGAACGGTACGGTATGGGCCCTTCAGCGATTAGTTTGCCCCCTCTCCCCCCTATACTCCTCCCTCTTCTCCCCCTTCCCCCTCCCCTTCTTGTCTTTCTACTACAGTACACCACACAATTTTTTTTAAAAAAAACAAAAGTTAGAAAAATTTATGTATAGAAATACTATATATAGAAAATTTGAATTCAAATTCAAATTTGAATCGGGTATGTAAACTTTTGACTTCTAAACTTTGGGTCTATAAACTTTAGATGTATAGAAATACTATATATAGAAAATATTTGAATTCAAATTCAAATTTAAATCGGGTATGTAAACTTTTGACTTATAAACTTTAGGTCTATAAACTTTAGGTGTATAAACTTTAGATATATAGAAATACTATATATAGAAAATATTTGAATTCAAATTCAAATTTGAATCAGATATAATTCAAATTCAAATTTGAAACGGGTATATAAACTTTAGGTCTATAAACTTTAGATGTATAGAAATACTATATAAAAAAATATTTGAATTCAAATTCAAATTTGAATTGGATATATAAACTTTTGACTTATAAAGTTTTGGTCTCTAAACTATAGATGTGTAAACTTGAGGTGTATAAACTTTAGGTGCATAAATTTACTAAAATATGAAAATAATGTGGTGCCAAAAAAGGAAACAGGTGGAGGGAGGGAGGGGGAGGTGGGGAGCGAATCTGATCGCTACCCCATCCCTAGGGCGATCGATCGCCGAACAGCATTTTCGGAACGGCATCGGTTGAACTCGCAGAAGAATTCTCTAACGCCGACGATCCAGTCATAGTAACAGTGGAAACTTGAAGCATTCTGCTATTATAAATTGGGCCGGAGGGAGTATTTCAGAGGGTATTACTGCAAGTAAAGTGAAACCATTTATTGGATTTCACAAATTCCATACACCTAAAATCCAATAATTAATACCCTCTTGAGAATTATTACATCATGCCATGCCTGTAACCAAATTATTGCGATTTTTTTATTGTTATTGTAATTCTAAAAATCGAACATAACTATCGTTGGAATTCATTTTTCATTTTCTAGAAGTCCCGTCAACCGTCGGCGGCTTTGCAACTATACTCTTATACACCCCGCCTGCTGCTTCTCCTTTTTATTGTTGGAATTCATTTTTTATTTTCTAGAAGTCCCGTCAACCGTTGACGGCTCTATAACTATACTCTTATACACCCGCCCGCTGCTTCTCCTTTTTATCGTCATTGAGATTTTAAAAATTGAATATGATTATCAATGGGGTTTGTTTTTTTTTTTCACTTTCTAGAAGTCCCTGCAACCGCCTTACATGTTTGCTTCACGGCCTGCCTGACGTTCCTCCTTTTAATCATCATTAGAATTATATTTGGTGTTTTATTAATAATTTTTATATCTCGTACTCCTTTATAGGCATGTTACTTAATTTATCTCGTCATGGGTTTTAAATGGACTTTCAATAATCTTTATTTTTATCACAAATTTTAGTTATTTATAAATTGTATTCCTAATTGAAATCTTATTTTTCTTTTTCTAATTTCAGAATTTTTTTAAAAAAATTATTTAATATCGTATTGTGTTATTTTAATGTTTTTATTTTTTATTTTCAATTTCATTTGTTTCAAAATTTTATTCCTACTTGAACTCTCTTTTAGTTTTTCTAATTTTAGATATTATTTTATTTTTATTCTAAATTTTAATTAATCTCGTATTGGGTTCTTATATGGATTCTTCTTTCAATATTGCTTATTTTTAATTCCGAATTTTAGCTGATTTTAAATTGTATTCCTACTTAAACTCTTATTTTATTTTCTTTTGCTAATTTTGAATTTATTTATTTTTATTCCGAATTTTAATTAATCTCGTATTGGGTTCTTATATGTACTCTTCTTTTAATATTTCTTATTTTTAATTTCGAATTTCAGTTATTTTTAAATTGTATTCCTACTTGGACTCTCATTTCCTTTTCTAATTTTGGATTTTATTTTATTTTTATTTCATTTTTGATTAATCTCGTATTGGGTACTTATATGAAAACTTATTTCAATATTCTTTATTTTTATTTCCGAATTTCAGCTATTTTTAAATTGTATTTCTACTTGTACTCTCCTTTTCTTTTTAAATTTTGGATTTTATTTTATTTTTATTTCGAATTTTAATTAATCTTGTATTGGGATCTTATATGGACTCTTCTTTTAATATTTCTTATTTTTAATTTCGAATTTCAATTATTTTTAAATTGTATTCCTACTTGGACTCTCATTTCCTTTTCTAATTTTAGATTTTATTTTATTTTTATTTCATTTTTGATTAATCTCGTATTGGGTACTTATATGGAAACTTATTTCAATATTCTTTATTTTTAATTCCGAATTTTAGCTATTTTTAAATTGTATTTCTACTTGGACTCTCCTTTTCTTTTTTAATTTTGGATTTTATTTTATTTTTATTTCGAATTTTAATTAATCTTGTATTGGGTTCTTATATGGAAACTTCTCTCAATATTGCTTATTTTTAATTCCGAATTTCAGCTATTTTTAAATTATACTTGTACTTTGACTCTCCTTTTTCTTTTTTTTTTCTTTTTCTCCGATTAATATGGGAATTATTTGTATTCCAAATTTTAATTAATCTCGTATTGGGTTCTTATATGGAGTCTTCTTTTAATATTCCTTATTTTTAATTTCGAATTTTATCTATTTTTAAATTGTATTTCTATTTTGACTCTCCTTTCCTTTTCTAATTTTGGATTTTATTTTATTTTTATTTCGAATTTTGATTAATCTCGTATTGGGTTCTTATATGGAAACTTCTTTCAATATTGCTTATTTTTAATTCAGAATTTCAGCTATTTTTAAATTGTACTTCTACTTGGACTCTCCTTTTTCTTTTTCTTTTTTTCTTTTTCTCCGATTAATGTCGGAATTTCTAGCCCCCACAGCGAACGTAATGTCTCCTTTCAAAAAGTTATTTTAATAATATAATAGATAGATACTTCCACCGTTTCACAATGTAAGTCATTCTAGCATTTCACACATTCATTTTGATGTTAATAAATATAGATAGATATATAAATGTCTATATTCATTAACATCATTATGAATGTGGGAAATGCTAGAATGACTTACATTGTGAAACGGAGGGAGTAGATAGATATTAATGTAGTGACATCCAAAACCACAAGCATAGTGTCTAATTGTTAAATAAAAATAAAACATGCAAATGTTGTGTTTAGTTTACCGATTGAAATCACAAGACTACTACCAAGTGTCCAAGTCTGATCACTGTTTCACGAGATATGCAAAGCAACGTTTATTTAGCTGCTTAGCTTCGACTTGGGCTTTTGGAAGGTCAAACGAGTGACGGAGGATCACACGTCGCATACGCCGTGATCGTATGACAGTCGAACGTAGTAGTCGTTTGTCTAGCATTTTCAAAAGCAACCCGCGGCGCCGGCTCCTCCAGAGATTCAGAATATTCGCCAGGTCACTTCGCTACCACCGTTCTTTTTCTCCGTACAGAAGCTTCTTTTCCTCCGTCCTTTTGGAGAAATCGCCGAGTAAAAGGCAGCGGGTGCGGTAGTTAATCCGCGTTGTCACGCCATAGTGAATTAGGAATCTCAGTAGAATCAGTGTCTTCCAATCTCACGCTAGATATTTAAATTCCTAACTAGCGCAACTAATTGGTGATGCTTATGGCCTGACTCTTTTAAGGTGGACACTTTTACTTTTTTTTAGTTTGTTTTTAGCATGGCCAATTTCCTTTGCAATCGCTTATCGCTATATGTGCAAAACCCATTTGCCCCTGTGACTGTAAACCAATCTCTTTTACATTTGAGTTACTAACAATCTTTAATTTGTTGTACCAAACACCACGTACATTATTTAGGGTATACACTACACGGCCTACATGCCATTGCCACGCGTGCGCAGAAATCGACGCACACGATCGTAAGCAAGCACTAAATTTTTCTCTTCAGATGATTCCAAAAAAATAAAAGAAATCCCCTCTAGATGAGGGATGGAATAATCTACTCCCTTTGTTTAAAATATATTTTCATTATTTAATAATTATAAAGCTAATCATATGTTTGGAAAAGAAATATAAGTACTTAAAATTTAACAATTCAAATGATTATAAAGGAATATTTTGACTTTACCTTCATATTTTTCTAAACAACCTATAGAATCCTTATATTTTCCCACGGGGAGGGAGTAGCTTGTGGAAGCCACAGCCAAATACAATATGAAAATTCCAACGATATGTGAAATACATTAGTTAATTTCAAATGATAGCTATCTGATAACTTATTAAAGTATTAGAAAAAAGAGCATCTACGTTCGCTCTCACAGCTTAAAAGTTCTCATGCTTATCGGAGAAACAGTAAAAAAAATCCAATCCATATATAAATACAATTTAAAATTAGCTAAAATTCAGAATAAAAAAAAGGAAATATTGGAAGAGAAGAATAGAGTCCATACAGGTACACAGTATAGAGCTAATTGAAATTCGGAGTTGAAAATAAGAAAATTAAAAGTAGATGTTAGAAACCATATAGAAATACAATTCATAAATAACTAAAATTCGAAATTAAAAAATAAGGAATATTGGAAAAGAGTATAGAATCCATATATGAATACGATTTAGAAATAACTAAAATTCGAATTTAAAAATTTATGCTCCAAAGAATAAATTGTTTGGTCAATTTCATACATAATTTGAAATTATGTTTGTGTGTGTGTAAGAAAGTATATTGATGCTAAGTGTGTAATCTGAACGGTTCACCATGCTAGTTTAGACTAAAAGAATAGTCCATATAATTTGGAAGAATTCTTCCCATAAGACTTTTATGATTAAATAAGCAATTCCAAATGTCATCAGTAAATATAAATTTTTCACTTCTTTTCAGAATATGCATTATCATTTTACGATGGTTTAATAACTCTGAGGTTCAAAATTATTATTAATACCTTAATAATTTTATGTTTTTCATTAACATTTACCAAGTTGTACTTTATACCAACTCATTTTACTTATAACGGTTATTATTTAGTCCTAAAATCAAAATTACAAATATTATTGGATACAAATATCAGTCCCTTGGATGAAAAACCTAACCACCACTTTTACCAGCTGCATTCATATATTAACTTATTAAAGTAATAAAGAAAGGAGCCTCCACGTTTGCTCTAACGGCCTAGAAATTCTCATGTTGGAATAGGAGACTAGAGTCCATACAAGTATACAATTTTGAGCAAATTGATATTCAGGATTAAAAAATAAGAAAATTAAAAGTTAGCGTCCATATAGAAATAAAATTTAGAAATAACTAAAATTCTAAATTAAAAATAAGCAATATTGAAATAAGAGTCTACAGTCCATATAGAAATATAATTTAGAAATTACCAAAATTCAGAATTAAAAATAAGAAATATTGAAAGAAACATCTAGAGTCCATATAGGAATTTAGAACTAATTGAAAGTTGGAATTAAAAAAATAAGAAAACTAAAGTAGAGCTTACAGTGCATATAGAAATACAATTTAGAAAGAATCAAAATTAAAAAGAAAGAAAGATTAGGATAAGAGTCTAGCGTCCATACAGTAATATAATTTAGAAATAATTGAAATTCGAAGGTAAAAAAAAGAATATTAGAAGAAGAGTCTATAGTCCATATAGGAATACAAGTTAGAAATACCTAAAATTTGGAATTTAAAAATAAAAAATATTGAATGAAGAGGTAGAATCCATATATAAATACAATTTACAAATAACAGAAATTTGGAATTAAAAACAAGGAATATGGAAGAGAAGACTAGAGCTCATACAGAATTACAATTTAGAAATAACTGAAATTCAGGGTTTAAAAATAAGGAATATTGAAAGAAGGGTTTAGAGTCCATATATGAATAAAAAATATAAATTGTGAAACTTAAAAATTTTAAAATAAGGAATTTATATTAGAAGAGGTGTCTAGAGTCCAAATTGGAATACAAGAATCCAGAAATAAAAATAATAATGAACCACTATCACGTATATATATAATACATTATACATTGGTTAGTTTGGTCAAGTTCATACATAATTTAATATTTTGTTGCCATTTTAATATATTTTAATAATAAAGTGTGAATATATATGCTATTATGTGAAAAAATGTAACGATGCTAACCACACAATCTGCGCGGGTCACCATATATGGTAGTTTACATGATGTGATTACAATTTTTAGATAATACACGATGTGATTACATGATCATGATGTGATATATATTGTGGTTAATTAGATGAGAAATAAGTTATTTATTTTCCTTCCAAGTGATAATCATAATATATTCCAAGTGATTGTCTTCCACTACTCTAAGAAAATGATTATGATTTGCATGATGCTTATTATCACTACTAGAGAAAATGACAATTTTGGAACCGGCACTGATGTGTTCCCCCCGAGTTAAAAAAAAAAGGAGGCCACCTTGAAGCATCGGCTCGAATCGAGCTGATGCTTCGAGTGCCCCCATTCCCAACCCCATTTGCAATCTCCCCCCCCCTCCCCCCCCCCCCTCTCTCTTTTTTTTTTTGAGGAGAACGACGGCAGGAGATCTGTCGGAATTTAATTAGAAAGGGGAAAACAATACAAAGCCAGTTCAGTCCAGAAGAAATTAAAAGAAAAACAGTACAACAATACACGGCACGAAACAATAAAATTTAATGGGCCTAAAAGCCGAGGTACGGAGATCAAGATCTTGTTTTACGATATATGCCACTGCTCTCTCTCTCTGAGATTGAAATATTGTTGAAAACTCTTCTGTTTCTTTCTAACCAAACGTTCCACCAAGTGGTAAGCAGAGCTCCTCTCGACGTCTTCTTTTGCTCCTTCGATCCCACGCAATCAATTTGAGCCCACCAATCTGAGGTTCCGACAGAAGGGCCATGCAAAATCAACAAGAGCACACGAGCATATGCACATGTCAAAGAAGCACATCACATACTATGAAGACAAGAACAAGCTAATCACATCATATATCAGAACAATTCATAACATAGATCAAAATCTTGCACTATGGCTGACCATTGCATGTTCAACATATCGGACTCACCATCCCAGAGGATCTGTCATCGTCGTTGTAGATTCCCTTGCTGCTCATCTCCTTTGAGTCGCCGCTGTCGCCATCAACTCCTTCCGGTCAGACCGCCAGCCCCCAAGCACGTGCGAGGTGATCCATGGCGGTGAGGTCAGAGGCGGTTGGATTCGGCAAGCCCTGGCCTCAAGAAGAACAAATCCGGTGGTCCCGGCCTCCAGGTGACTGGATCCGGCGCAGCTACGGAGAAAAAGCCCGAAGGCGACGAGGAAATGGCGAGGAGGAGAGTGCACCGCCAGGGAGAGAGCTCGGAGGTAGCAAGGAGGAGCGGGCACCGTTATGGACAAAGCGTGGAGGAGCAGCGATGTCTCCGGGGGAGACCTTGGAGGAGAGATCTGAGGAACAGTGAGAAGATGTTGGGATGGCATTCGCAAAAAAAGGAGATGGGGAGGGCGAGGAGATAGGATGAGGCTAGAAGACTTGGGCTCTGTTTGTCGGGGAGACAGGGGAGATTGAGTCTCGTTTTCCACGCGCACGCTTTTCAAACTACTAAACGGTGCGTTTTTTGCAAAAAAAATTTCTATAGGAAAGTTGTTTTAAAAAATCATATTAATCCATTTTTAAAATTTAAAATAGTTAATACTCAATTAATCATGAGCTAATGGCTCACCTCGTTTTGCGTATCTTTCCAATCTCCTCAATCATCTTCTCCTCAAACACACCCTTGGGGATTGACGAAAAAAGGAGTAGGCCGGAGTTAATTTTTTTCTCGCCGCCACCTATTGATGCCGGTTTTTCTCTCCATTTAGTCCATCGGTGCCAAGTTTTTTTAAAAACCAGCACTGATGTGATCAGGGTCGGGTTTTTTAGAATGCACACGAGTTTGGAGGGTACGAAATAATCTTTATCAGTGCCGGGTTTAATTAAACCGGGAATGATAGAGACAACACTGATAGGATGTTCTATAGTAGTGTTATCTCATGAAAACTAGATAGCGTAGTGCTGAATTCACATGTTTCCATCAGATCGAGCATCTTTTTTCCTTTTGCCTTGGCAAGTTGGCATCAGAGTATCATTCACTGGAGTATCGGAGAAAAAATTGGGTTCGTCTTCCTCGGCAGTGCCTATTTAAGCTCACCCCACCCCACCCCATGTCTTGAGCATCCAAGAATGAACATACTTCACACAAAAATTGGCTATCTACAACATTCTCGCCATCTTACTACTACTGTTTCTCCCCTTAAAGTCCAGCTCCCAATCGACGGTGCAGCCCAACACCGACTGTTGAAGTGTATAAAATGAATTGCCCGTCTTTCCCTATCAGCTTAGGCTTTTAGGTGCAACTGGCTGGTGCATGCAACTTAATATGGTATCAGAGCCAGAGGTCTCGAGTTCGAATCCTAGCTGACGCGCAATTAAATAAAATAATTGTAGCCCACTCTAATATTCCACGCTTGAGACTTGAGGGGGTCTCACCTCTTCCTCCCAAGTTTCCACATAGCCAAACCAATTCCAGCCTCCATTTACAGCCTCAAGAACCTGACTTCCATAGACCTCTCTTACAACAATCTCACCGGTGATTTCCCCACTGTGCTATACGCTTGCTCAGCTTTAGAGTTACTTGACCTATCCAACAATCAATTATCCGGCAGACTCCCTGACGACATCGACAAGCTGTCCTCAGATATGCAGCATCTCAACCTGTCCAACAGCATCGTGCCCATCTCCGTAATCGCTGGTGGCGTGGTCATCTTTGCCGTAGGATGTGTTGTCGCATCCTGCAGATGCAGGGCTCGCAATGACGACATGACTCCTATAGTTTTAAGTGATAAAATGGAGGATCATCTAGTCCACAACGCTGTGGACGTAAACAGGATCAGTAGCACAGGCACAACGACAGGAGACCCACTGTACCGTTTGGGGGTTATTAACGACAGCAGCGACACCTACAGGAGATTAACTGTGAAGAAGATGCAGAACGAGACCAGGAGTGTGGACGCCGAACTCGAGAACCGGCGCCAAACGGAGGAGACCACGCTCGGCATGATCGTCCACCCCAACATCATTATCCTGTTAGGCTACATTCGGAGGAACGAAATGATCTTGATTCTGTACGAGGACATGGAGAACGGCAGCCTGGACAAGTGGATACACCACAACACGCAGGCCGGCGAGAGGCGCCTGCGCCCGCCGCTGGGCTGGCGAAAGCGGCTGGCCATCGTCATTGACGTCGCCGGAGCAATCCTCTACATGCATCACGGTTGTCGAAGGCCGATCATTCACGGCGACATCAAGCCGGCCAACATCCTACTTGACGGCAACTTCAAGGCCAAGATCTCTGGCTTCAGTTATGCCCGGATCAATCTTGCCGGCCGCAACACGCTGTTGGGAAACGTCCGTCTTCATGCAGGGGCCTTCGGGTATTTTGCTCCAGGTGAGGCAGCATAATTAATTAATGCGTACGTTCCCAATTCAGAAATCGTTAAACTAGTTAACGATCATGTTACTTCAGGATTGACTGGCTGCCATTTAATTTTGCTGCAGAGTATGCGGACACCGAAGTGAGCGAGAAGGTCGACGTGTACAGCTTTGGCGTCGTCCTGCTGGAGATCGTCACGGGAAAAGTAGTCAACGATCAGCACGGCCATCTGACGACATGGGCAAAAGCCTACTTGAATACATGGGCACGGCAAGGCTACGACGATAAGTTATTCACCGACGATGTCCTTGACAACGATATCGCCTCTGACGCGGCACGGTACTTGAAGGAGATGAAGGCCGTGTTCAAGCTCGGCGTGGAGTGCACCATGATGGACCCGCAGCGCAGGCCGTCCATGCAGACTGTTCTTCGACGCCTCCGCCAGTGTGCCCGCTGGTGGAGACGATTCCCCTGTTTCGTCTGATCGATCACTTCCATATCAAATCGTCTTGTTTATTACCCCTCCGTCTAAAAAAATCAATCCTACCTACGAACATGTACACACGTGTTCACTAGTTGCATCATTTTCTTTCTGTTACAAGCAAACATTCTCGTGCATTGAGGAGGACGGGTAAAATGTTCCCCTCCATGCTTTAGCGTATTCAGATTTCTAGTGTCAGCTAAACTAGATGTTACCTCGTATGTTGCTGTGAGACTTTGTGTGAACAAAATATTATATGATTTGTGAAACGTGAAAACAAAAAGGTGAAAAAGAAGCCATTCAATAAAGAGTTCTACATATTGGTGGGAACATAATATGCAACTCTGAGTTGTTTGTGCTTGCGTGGTTAGCGTGTAGTGCTTGGACATGTACTGGTGTACTGTCGTATTTTTTCTTGTAACTTTTTCTCTTTCTTAATGTATCCGGATGGGCGGTCTTCCTGCCGAAAAAACTTAAGCAATCTCTTAGGGTTGCCAATATGCATAAAGGTAAACTGTACTGTTGAATTTAAATCAGAGATTGAATAGAAATACATCATGCTAATTTGGTAAACAGCGAATGGTAAAGTGGCAATCACTTAAAATTTTATTGAATGAACGGATGTCAATCCATATCATGACTCATGAGTGAAACTAGCAGGGTGCCCTGCGCAATTACGTGGCTAGTATCCATATAAAATTATCTATTTTTTAATATATGATATTACTTAAAATTTGTTAAATAGCCTTCACGTTGTCTTAGAACCTTAAAAGATTGAACCTTATCATCCTTTAATTTTTAATTTTATTGTTTTTAGAAGTCATATTAGCCGCTACCTCTTACTCTTGTATCATCCTTCTATTTTGTTTGCCTGATCTACCACAGCTTCTACTTATCCTTCTTGAAATCTTTTAAAAATTGGGTTAATTAATTGGACCTTCTAGTTTCTAGAGTCCATTGTCTCATCGGGTTCTGTTATTATAATTTTTAGAAGTGTCATCAAACGTCGCCATTGTACTCCTCCATAACACGTCCGTTGTCTCCCCTATTTACTGTTATTGGGATTTTAAAAATTAAACATAATTATCGTTGGGATTCATTTTTTTACTTTATAGAAGTCCCGCCAACCGCCGCTACCTCCGGCACTATACTCCTGTATCCATATGGCCCGCGCATTGCCTTCCCTATTTATTATCATTGAGATTTAAAAATCGAATAAGATTGTCATTGCAATTTATTTTTTACTTTCTAGAAGTCCCGCCAACCGTCGTGACCTTGCTACCTACCGGTCTATTTATCGTTGCTCCAGTTAATCGTCATTGGGATTCTATTTGTGGTTTTGCTTATAGTTTTTAGATGTTCCATCAACCGCCGCCATTTTACTTTTTTGAGAAAATCCCTTGTGTACCCCTAAAATTTTAGCTAATCCCTTCTATGCCCCTGAATTTTTCTTACTTCCTTATATACCCCCATAATTTGATTTTGATCCCTTCCATGCCCCTCCCGTCAGTTGACCGTCTAATTTCTATAAAAATGATCATTTTACCCTTTGGATGAACATACAAATTTATGAATTACATTATTGGAAATGTAAAAGTTTGTCGCACTAGACTATTATAGTCATGAGTTTGATGTGTGATACATTATTTATGACAAAATTTACTTTTAGATAATGAAATAAAATATATGTATTTATTTTATTTTTAAAAAATTCATAAAAATGAGGAGCATTCATACAAAGATAGGACTACGAGTGCTCACCATATTCTTTTTATGAATGCTCCCGGTAAAAAAATATATTGTCCTATTGAATTTCAAATAAAAATTCTTTTTTTATTTTCAAAACTTTTGTCAAAATTTTCCGCACTAATTATTTAGTTTCATTTTCTACCTAAAATGCACATATTGTGCACTCAACTGAAATTTTCAATCGTTTTCAAGCTTATATTCAAACCTAAATCATCAAGGGCATTAAAGATATTTGCCACCAACTTAACGGTGAATTGAAGGAAAATGTGATTGTAGGGGCATGGAAGGGATCAATTTAAATTTTCAGGGGTATAGAAGGAATCAGGTAAATTTGAGAAGTATAAAAAGGGATTGAGTGAGTTTTCAAGGATATACAGAAAATTTACTCTACTCTTTTACGAGTATATTGCTTCTCTCCTTTTTATAGTTATTTGTCATTGTTGAGTTTTAGATGAACTACTTTTTTTATGAAAATTTCTTATTTTTCATTGCAATATTTTTTTATTACTTATAAAGTTTATTCCTACTTGAACTCCTATAATTATTTTTATATTTTTTAAAAAAAATTATTTTTTATTTCAAATTTTAATTAATCTCGTATTCCGTTCTATATAAACTCTTCTTCCAACGTTACTTATTTTTAGTCCGAATTTCAGCTATTTTAAAATTGTATTTCTACTTGAACTCTTATAATTATTTTTTCTATTTTTGAAATTTATTTTATTTTTTATTCTGTATTTTGATTTATCTCCTATTCGATTCTATATGAAATCTTCTTGCCGCCTCTCACCCCGCTGCTACCGGTGGGTAAAGAAGAGAAAAGTAGACAGAACAAAAATGAAAAGAGAGAATAGAAGAAAAAAGAGATGCTGACTAGGATGTGGGTCCCACATACTTCTTTTTTCTTTTTGCTATCTAGCATGCCACGTCAACGAAACCGGGCATCCAAACTGTCTTGGAACCTTTTTTTGAACGGTTTTACATAGTTGAGGGGTACTCATTTTTTGAACGGTTTTACATAGTTGAGGGGTACACATTTCTGGTATTACGGTTAGGGGATCCCACAGACTCCTCGTACAATTGAGGGACGTCAGATAAACTTATTCCTCTTACAAAACACTTCTTTTTTTTGAGAAACACAGTACAAACGCAGGCGCACACTCACCCCTATGAACACACACATGCACACCCTACCCCTATGAGCACCTCCGGAAGACTGGGCCGGCATATCTTGAGATTGTTTTTTTAGAAACACAGTACAAACGCAGGCGCACACTCACCCCTATGAACGCACACATGCACACCCTACCCCTATGAGCACCTCCGGAAGACTGGGCCCTATGAGCACCTCCGGAAGACTGGGCCGGCATATCTTGAGATTGTTTTTTTAGAAACACAGTACAAACGCAGGCGCACACTCACCCCTATGAACGCACACATGCGCACCTTACCCCTATGAGCACCTCCGGAAGACTGGGCCCACAGGCGCCTCGCAGCGCACACTCACCCCCTACCCCTATAAGCACCTCCAGAAGATTGGGCCGGCAACGCACACATGCACACCCTACCCCTATAAGCACCTCTGGAAGACTGGGCCGGCCGGCATATCTTGAGATTGACGAAGTCACCACAGGCGCCTCGTTGTCGGGAAGACTGGGTCGGCATATCTTGAGATTGACGAAGTCACCACAGGCGCCTCGTTGTCGACGGATACGTCGTCTACCACTGAAAGAATAATTAGCCGTAAATGCGAGCACCCATGCAAATCTAGGATTTGAATCTGGGTGGGCTGGTTCCACCATAAGAAATCTAACTAGTTAAGCTATGCTCTTCTTTAGAAGGATTTAATGGTGGTAACAGTGAATTTTCTACCCAAACACTCCTATTGTAAATTTTACAAAACACTTCTTAAACTTTTTAATACTAAAAAAATAAATCTAAATGGATAGCCACATATAAAATCAAAATAAGGTGAATACTTCCCTTATCAAATACATAGGTAGCACACTTCAAAAAGATATTTTATTAGTAGTAAAGCACGGATATTTAGCTAGTTGAAACTGAAAAAAGAAAAGAGACATGGTAGAATCCAGGATGAAAACAACCTTCATTCAAAATTAGATATCACTTTTTCCCATCAATCTTTCACAAACCCTGTGAAGTACCACCAGTACTTCATCAACGAATCTGAAACAAGTATAGGAAAGTGGACACAGTGAAAATGGATAGCCAAGAATAATGGCATTCTATTTCTTTTTCTTTTAAAACTACCAAATATACTGACCTAGACCTAACTAGCAGCCAAGGAAAGGCACTACCTTAACTGATACACTGGTGCTCGCTCAGTCTCCTCAGTCCTCCCACAACCACAAGTCCATAACTCCAGAGCCTAGCCTAAGAACTTCATATTTGAGCTTCCATGGTTTCTCAATCCCAGAGCTTCTCTTATCCTGAAAGCAACCGAAAGGCATCCTTTTTTTTCTTTCAGCGTATGATTTGATGAAGATTTGGGCGCCATCTGTTCAAGTCTCCGTCTCCTGACAAAATCTGTGACAAAGTATTCGGTGTGTCAAGGGTGGTTGTTCTCTTCAACTCCTCGCCAATTGCTCAGTTCATGACAGACGAGCTCTTCCATGGCAGAGAAGGTGCCAAACAACACCGGATAGACAAAAAGAACATTTTAAATGTTAAATTTGAAGGGTGAGAGTACAAGACATGCCTCAAGAATGCTTTCAAACCTGGGATGCATCCGGTTCCACACCTGAAAAGATCTTTGCAAACCAATCCAACACCATATTCATATTTATAGGTCAGTCAATTTAAGCAGAACGAAATGAAAGGATAAGCACAGTACAGAGTGAGTGCACAGAAAGCAAAACCTCCATCTGGAAGGCCAATTCAGATCACTTCATGTCCACTTAAGCGTATATCACCATTCTCAGTAAGGATCGTCCCAGCGACCACTTCTGCAACCTCCATGAATTCAGTACAGTTGCTACTTGCCAAGCTTTCAATTCCTTCTAGTTTTCTTTCATCCTTCTCAACCACACTTTCTGAAGGCGCCTGCTCTAAAATTGTTTGAATTGGATCATTTTCAACATTGGGCATCAAGCAGCCAGGTCAGCTAGTTTCATCAACCAAACCAATAGTGCCAACTGCTGCACAGCTGTTGCCTGATACAGTGGACCCCTCAGATCCATGTGGTGAAGTGGAGCAATTAGTCAGTCCAAAATTTGCATCATCATGCAACTGAATTGATGCTTCCTCACAAGCCGGGCTAACTGAAGCCCTTCTAACAGATTTGAATGAGTCAACGTCAGCACCTCCAACAGAATGATACTTTCGCTTGAGCTGACCCACCAGAGATGCTGTCGTTGTGCAAACTTCAGAGTCATTTTTATCAGACTGGTCTTGCTGCTCTGCACATATTGGCGTTGGTGGACGAGTTTTCTGGCAGCCCTGTTCAAATACATAAAGGGGGATCTCCTTCTTACGGACATGAGTGACAGCTAGATCCATCCCGGATTTCCACTGTGTATACATTCCAATTTCATGCATAAACTCGTCTACTGTTCCACGGATATCAAATTTTTGACCACGTATTTTCATTCCCTCTTTCCTTGATAAGCCCATGTAGAAGGCACAGTGAGCACACTGTATTGAAGGATCTGCATATTCACATGGGTTAGGATGGCATTGCAGCATCCCTTTAGTGTCCCGCTCAATCTGCATGTTAGAAAGACAAACTTGCATAAGTTTCTAAGTATGGAATATTCATAGACCTCATTTTAATGTTCACTTCAAATAATATAAAAATTGTAGTTTATCCATATATAGGAGTAATAAGAAACTACTGCTACTACAATACAGCAACCTTTAGAGTCAGCTGTCTCAATCGAGATTCAATCCATCCCTTCCAAAGCCGAAGATCATCATCATCATCTGCAACAATGTCAACCACTAGATATCTTGTATATGCCTCGAAAAATTGGAAAGGCTCAAACAAAGAACTCCAGCTAGCCTTGTTAAGCTCAATTTCCTGCATCAAAGATAGGCAATGAGACCATATGCAGAATTTAGTGCTCTGAGGCATAAAGTTGAGGCATAGATAATGCACCTGACAAATCTTATTACCAAACTGAAATTGCTCCATAATAACCCTCAATGTGCTAGTTGAAACATTGTAACTAGAGTTCATGCATGGATATGCTGGCGTGATGATAGGCATAACATGTGATCTATCACGAGGATTCTTACGTGGATCCCACACAGCAAAGCCAAGGTTATCATCGTTCTCAATGGCACAAAGCATCACAGGATTTGGCCACTGCCACTGGGTGAAAACTCTGAAGAATCTTGAAACCAGCATACTTGGCACAGCATTGGGATAAAGTTGGCAGACACGAGCAACCAATAGGGCCCAGCTGACACCCCCCAGCAAACCAGTAACCTAACAAGGAAACCATTTGGCGTCATAACGATTCAGCACCTTTTGATGCTAATGGTTTTGATCCAAGCACAAACACATTTAAGTGTATCATAGATGATAAAACCAGGCTTACATTAGAATAAACTCCTCTTCTCTGTGCCCAGTACTTCAAACATCTGAGTGTTTTCCGGAAGATCTACATAGCATATATTTATTACAATGACATGGTTTGGACTGTATAATAAGAGAAATGGTGATATCATAATTAAATTACCTCCGCATTTGGAACAAGTCGAAGAATCTGGTCTGCCACCCTGCACCCATTGAGACTTCGAACAGTTGCTTCATCAACATCACAAAGTACAGATCCTTGAGAGATGTCAAAATCCTGCAATGGTACATTAAAAAATAATAAATATACAATTTAACAAGTTAAAACTCCCTCATGAAGTAAACCATACAGATTAATGTAAACATTGTATAAGCTGGCAAATTAACTTTTGCCTTTGGCGTCACCTATAGGCTATAGCTGCTAATGCTATTAAAGTTAGCTTAGACATTATATATGTCCTTCAACAACACTTCCAAATAGCAGCCTTACATAGTCAACACATTGGTTGATAAAAAGTTTCAACATAGCAGATCCATCCATAGTTGCAGAAACTAATGGGATAGGCAACCAATGAAGAGAATGGAAATGGGCAAACTAACAGATGTTGGATTAGGCAATCATAAAACACCATCTCAAGCGTGTGTTATTATGCATAGCATGCATTTCAGTTCATGTACGAAATCCTAGGAAATGAAAACTTACTGGTGGTATTACTGGAAGAGATACACTGGCATAGAGAAGGTCAATTGGTAGCCCACGAAACTTGAATTTCATAACTGGTACATGAGCATCAGGTACAGGTTGCAGTTCAGTCACTTCTTCCATTTCTGATAATGCGCCATATAGCATGACAAAAAATTCCTCCTGGAGAAATAATACTGTTAATGTCCATCATGAAGACCTAAGTAATCCATAGACAGCATGCAACAAAAAGAAGACTTCACCTCTCGTTTCACATATGAGGGTCCAATACATAGTGCATCAATGTCTGCTCCAGGCCCATGAACCTAACAAAAGAGGCCACTATTCATAAAGTACACAAAGGAAAATTGATCTACTAGGAAAGTACTTACAGCAACCAAAAAATATTATTAAATACACACTCTTGTTACCGTGAGTTCCCGCTGATAAACAGAAACACCACTTTTCAATTTTGGCGGTTTAATAATCTTTAATAGGTATCTATGATTTTATTTGTGCCAAACATGACCAGGAATGATTCTCAGCAATTTGTGAGATTATTATTGCACTAAACAGTATATTAGGAATGTATTGTTAGAGAAAAGGATGAAAAACTTTAAACTGCATAAATATAGCAAATTTTATTCCTGTTTTGGCATGTTAGGCTTTTAGACCTATCCAGTGAAGGACAAGAGAGATTTCTAGTTATTAATCAGTTATAGAAACCATAGGAAGAGCTTCCAAAATACATTAGTACGTGATGGAGCTAGTTTCGTTTGTGGGGTTTTTTCTGTTTTGGTGCAAAAGGTCTTTCTCTACCCTTGGGTGGTTGTGTCGAAATAAGAATCGTATTTCTTCTTATCCACTGAAGATTACTTTTTTATTCTTTCTTTCTTTATTTTTTATGGGTGTTATTTGTTCTTTGATGTCAGCCTCTTGGACATCTTTTGCTTAGGTTCAGCTAAGTAGTGGACAAACGGAAGGAAATGAATATATGGATCTTTCCCAAAAAACAGGAGTTGTCCACACTATCAGGTTTCCTTACAGGAAAAAAGCTACCATCAACCAAGCAGCATCTACTACCTATGCAATAGATTGTGAACCACAAATGAACAGACTCTAAATTCTTTCTACACAGCTCTTGTCTCAAATAATAATTATCAGATATTGTTCTACTCCAGTCTATCATCAATCCAGTAAAAGCTGCACAATTTGAAAATAGTTGCTAGCTCCAAAGAACCAAGCTAGGGTATGTTATTCTGCTTGAACAAATCAAGAAACCAAGTATCAGCAACAACAGTACTTCCATAGTTATATTCAAGTTGTATATATATCTAAATGGAAGCTAAAAAGACTGACAATTTCAGGTGATAACGAATTGGTTGTGCTTGACTCACTCTAGAAAGAAACATCAACATGATCATTTAACTGTGGTAGAAGGAAAAAGGAACAAAAAGAAGCATTTACCCCCAGTCTGTAAGATCCAAAAGTGAAAAGGACTGCATTTGCCTCTTTAACCATTTGCTCACTATATCCTTTCTGAATAGTGACCTTCTTCACCCATTCCTTGACTATCTGCAATATCACAGACGCAGAGAAGACCTCATAAAACAACAAGAAAGGGCTAATTCTTATACAAAGAAAACAACATGTGAGCATATACAAAGTTAATCTGCATTACCATGCGCAGGTAATGGCAAGCTCCAAATCAAGAATATTTTGTTCATATATTGGTAGTTAGGACTTTTGTGCCCCAGAGGAAGCACTAGCAATTGGTATATCGTACTCACGCAGGCATCAACACATTCATGCACAGTAAATCATTTTGGTTAGAATAATATAAAACCGAAACAACACAAGCGCATGAAAGCAATGCTGCCTAAGCAAAGTCCGGCAACAAAGTGCATGAATTTAAGCGATAATTACATATCCCCTTCTGCGCCCACCGCCTAACTCGTATAATATTCAGAGATATCAAGTTACATTGGGTTAACAAATAACTAGCACTAGCCATTGATAGCAAGTAAGAGTGGAAGCAACTTAATTACCTGATCAATCTCCCGAAGAACCTCCTCCCGTTTCGCGGACTCCTCCTCCCCTTCATAAAGGCCGGCTTCAACCAAGAACTGAAAAGCAAAGTTTTCTTAGTGACACAAAAGCAACATCTATCACTAGTAAATAACATATGCATACACCTACGCCGCAACACATAATCAATTACTAACAGTGGATAGATAAATAACCTTCTCCAACTCAGCCGTCTTGTGGAGATCGGCGACGGTCGGCATGGCCAGAGACAAGGGCGGATCCGCGCCGCCGCCGCCGCCGCTCCGCTTCGGGGACGACCGAGGCTTCCCCCTGACCGCGACGAAAGATCCCGCCATTGAAACCACCACGGAACCCACCCAAACAAACACACAAACAAACCCTAGACGCGCGAGATTAATGGAGTCTCCCCCCCTCCCACGCGCAGCAGCTACCTACCTACCTACCTACCTACCTACCACTCTACCAGTGCCTCAGAGACCACGAATCCCCGCCGGGATCACGGCGAGGCCGTGGATTTTCCTCTCACGAAAAACCGAAGCCACGCGCCTCAAGCACACCCCTCCCCCACCCCCTTGGATGGCGGAATCCTAACCCGGCCGGGTTATCCCTACCGCGAGCGAGCGAGCGAGCACTCCGGTATGACGAGTGTGCAAAATCGCGCCGGCGAGCAGCGGTGGTGGGGTGGTGGCGGCGGCGGAGGAGGAGAAGGTTTCGGTTGCGTTGCGGGCGGAGGAGAAGAGCATGAACAGTGGCGGCTGGATTAGGACACGAGGATTGCACGTGACAAATTTTCATTTTTCCTGTTAAGAGTAAGACCCAATCGCTTATATACAAAGCTGCCGAGAATTGAGCCTCGAATCAGCGTTTGCCGCTGGCGTGGCCCTTGCCGGGGCGTGACACGTCGTCCGGCCCTTCTCCGGAGCTGAATTTGGAGGCTGCGCGTTGCTTGCTTCCTCCGTCGTTGGATGCCCATCGTGCGTCCATGCCTGCCCGACGCTGATCATTTTGCAAAAAAGCCCTTAAACTAATTGATAATTTGGTTTTAGATCTCTGGTATACAGTTTCTACGTTCTACGTTATTACGTATAGGACCTCTAAAAAAGAAATATTCTAATCAAAGAAGCAAAAAACAGAAAATAGGACTGCGCTCGAAAACATAGAAACTAAGGGGGTTTTCTGCAACAACTTGCATCCCTATCCCGGTCCCTCACCCCACGAAACCCTAGCCGCCGCCGTTCCGTCACCTCTCTCTTCTCGCTCGCTCTCCCTAGACCACACCGCCGCATCCGCCTCCGCCTCCGACCACTCTTCTTGCACCCAGCCAAATCGCCGCACCTCCCCCTTGCCACCGCGAGGCCAGTTCCGGCGGAGGGTAGACCGTGCTCGCCGGATTCGGGTAGCCACGACCTCCTTGCCGGCGGATCCGGTCACCCGGAGGCAAGGGCAGGGCTAGCACATGAGGCTCATCGGCAGTGTCGCGGTAAGCTCCATGGGGAAATCTCTGCTCCCCACCCTCATCTTTCTTGTTGCTCTCCTTCCTCCCCCCTCCCCCTCCCTCTCTCTCTCTCTCTTTGATCTAGAGACGGCGATAGATCCAGAGCCACTGGATCTGTTGATCTTGGCGGCGGCGATGTGGCACCAATCTCAGACATTTCGTGTCATCGGTGTTGCTGGCTTGAGCTCAATGGTGAGACGCTCAGTCAGCGAACGACGAGTACCTTGATTCGGCGGTTGCGCTGGAGCTCCATGACCAGGTGCTCTATCCGGTGCCGCACAGCTCGATTTGGCGTGTTGGGCGGTCAATGATGAGTTCGTCGATCCAGCGACGGTTCTCTCTGTCTGGTTGCACGCTACTCTGAGTATTCCAACACCGTGCTAGATTTGGCGAGATGAGTAATACGGTGCTGCACGGAAGCTTGAAGCCGCTCCGACCGGCGGCGACGGCATCAAGCAAGAGTAGCATTGTATGCGGCCAAAAAAGGTCGTCTCCATGTGCCTCTCCACTGCCAAAGCCATACAGGATTCATGTGTATCTGAGTCCCTTGCTGTCGTTGCCGCCGTTATGAAGTCGTTCTCATATGTGACGGTGACCAGTGGGCAGCGGCACAGACAATGTTTCAGATGGCTGCCTGCTTGCCTCTTACCACCACTCCTTTCCTTTTTTGTCATGCTTTCTCTTTCTCCCTTTGTATGTGTGTTGCAGCCTTGCAGGTTCTCACTATCATGTATTTCTGAATTTGTGCAGGTTCTTAGCAAATAACTCAGATTTCCTTGAGCATATCATTTCAGGATAAAAAGCATAAGAGGTTGGCTTTCTGTTTTGTTTCAACCTCTGTTACTGATGTACTGCATTCTTTAGATTTGGTCTTTGTGAATCTTTAGTTACCGAGATTCATACGTTTGTTTGCTTCATTCTTTTAGGTGGTCGACCATCTATAGTTGCTTTGCCTCTCACACGAGCCACGAATGAAGCTCCACAGCTTAGCGGCAATTGTATACCAGTAGATGATGCTGGTTTTGTTTGCCATCAGTCATCTTGATTACCTTGGTGCACATGATATCATCTGTTTATTTGAAAGAAAACTAAATTTCGATTCGGTGACTACTTTACAGATGAACACTCGACATGAATGTGTTTACGCACAAAAAGTATTTGGCAATGCGCCAATGTGTTTTCCTGCAGTTTAGATTGGCTAACAGTAGATACTGCTGGTTTTGTTTGCCATTAGACCTCTTGATTACCTTGGTGCACACAGATATAATCTGTTTAGATATAATCTGTTTATTTAAAAGGAAACTGAATCTTGATTTGGTGGTTAGTGAACAGTTGAACACTCAACATGAATGTTTATGCATAAAAAGTATTATGTCCTTTGTAGATTCTTATGGTTAGCCAGAGGCTATAATTAGAAGACGATGTCTTTGGGAAGGTAGGTAGGGCTGTTCAGCCCCAAACAATTGTTGATCAGCTATACTGATCCCTTTTTCATGTTGCAAAACCTTTTATCCTATGCCTTCTTTTGCTCAATTGGCCTAACAACCAAGGGATAAATAGAAATTGCCACAGGATCTTCTTACAACGATGGAAAGTTCATTTGTAATAATCATTTTACTACCTCAATAGGAAAAACAAAACATAGAGCGAGCTTTTATAGCCTGAGGCTGTGTTTAGTTCAGCGCAAAGTTTGGATTTTGGTTGAAATTGGAGATGATGTGACTGAAAAGTTGTGTGTGTATGACAGGTTGATGTGATGGAAAAGGACTGAAGTTTGGATCCAAACTTTGGATCTAAACACAGCCTAAATGTGAAACTAATTCTGTGAGTAGATGAGGTTCTGTGATAATTTTCTTGAGCATAAGTGCACGTTTTGATGTTCTCTATCTGCATTTTCTTGTATGCTTTCCCCTTTTGTGCAGATAAATAACTGGCAAGATATTGGAATGCCTAAGAATGGTACAAAACTAAGAGCAAGAACTTTCGGTGCCAATACAACACTGCCAGCCTTTGGTCATGAAAACATTAGAGAATCAACTTAGACATCACCATGTACGTTGTTATTAGTACCATCAACATCCTAATTAACTCATCTTAATTAGCTGGCACTACAATACTATATTTTTCTGAGATATGTTATCTCTGTTCTACAGAATTTAATTATTGTTGTATAGTGACTGCTTTCATTTGTTGCAGATCTTACAGGTGGGCTTAAAGTATATAATAAACAAAGTGGAACAAGTCATGAATGTCATGCCTAATTGTTGTTGTTTTAACCAGGCAACAAACTCAGGAAATCGAGATGCACACTTCAAATGATCTGGTAGAAATCCCCACCTTAAATCCTTTATACTCTACAAACCACAACTATCTTTAATCATTTGTTGCCCTTATTTTGCTTATATCTACACATGGCCATGGTGCTTCATGTTTATTTTCTGAAAATGCCAACACCAAAGATTTTGAAGCACACAACTGACAAAGTGGACATGCTACAACAATTTCTACAACAAGAAGCACCATTTATAGAACAAAATGCAGTACACATGTATGTTGATTGCAGTGCTAGGAGTGCAGTAAATTTTTTTACATGGGTGTATTTTTTGCAATGATGGATGTTAATAATTGAGGGATATGATGAGTTAGATGATATAAACAAGGCACAATGAATGAATTGAGGCCATCCTGATGTTGGGTTGCACATGTATTATATTTTATTGGATTTCTCCTTTTATGCACTATGTACAATAGTTGGTCAGAGAGGAAAGGCTAGAGCTAGAAGACTTTTTCACTTTCTTTTTTTCCCTCTAAATATGGGCTGTTAGACAGAGTTTTACTAACTGATAGCAATAACAACACTCCTCTGAAAATAAGAGAGATGTGTTCCTCTGTTTGCTAGATGCTACTGGCCAGCCTAATGGTAATTGATTAATTCCATGCAGCACCATATTTATCTTGTATGTGACAGTTTATAATATACTGCATTGCATTTGTCCACAGTTTGATCATGCAGAGTTATAAAAAAGGTGGCGTGGTGGTCTTGCATAGGTGGGTTTCAAAGTTTCTATATCAGTTTTTCATTGATGTGGTTCAAGTGTTAAATTTCCTTGGGTTTTCTGCTCAGAATTGTAGATTTTCTTTACTGAAAACTGCAAGCGACAAGTTCTGTTCCATTGGTCAATATAATCTTTTTAGTGATATTCTGCAAGATGTTTAGTCAAATCCATGACTATTATATCCAGACTAGAACCAAATTTATACCACAAAATATAGTATTTATTGCTGAGGTCGTAGGGTTTATTTGTAATAAAATGTGTTCTTTTTTATTTTATGTATGTATGACTACCTGCCTTTGTTTAATTTATTTCTCGCATGCTTGTTTTCTATACATATCTAACTTTCATGTAACCTCTGTTTTTTTACCTGTCTTGTTGCCGGCAGCGCGGCAACGGCGCGCGCCACCCCTAGTATAATTTTCACGCAACGCGATTCCGACTTTCCTAGCTTTGTTTTCCCTTCTCATTTGGAAATGCTGTTTTTTTTTATGGAACTAGCTCACGACTAAAATAGTATTATAACATATCTTATAGTGAAAAAAAAAAGCTTATACTCCCCCCGTTTTTTAATAGATGATGCCGTTGACTTTTTCTCACACGTTTGATCATTCGTCTTATTCAAAAAATTTACGTAATTATAATTTATTTTGTTAGGAGTTGTTTTATCATTCATAATACTTTAAGTGTGATTTATATCTTATACATTTGCATAAAAAATTTTAATAAGACGAATGGTCAAACATGTGAGAAAAGTCAACGGCGTCATCTATTAAAAAACGGAGGTAGTATATTAAAACTCTAAAATCAAAATAGTTCTTTATTTGTCACCCTAGTTGATGGCTTGACGCCATTGCAAAACCAAAATAGTCTTCTAGTTATCATTCGCAACCATGAATGGATCGCGGGGACTTTGGGGCTGTTTGGTTCGTGTCCTAGGGGCCACGCCTGAGAAAAACTTACGCCGAATAGGCAGCGTTGGGAGATGTAACACTTGCCTCATCAGGCAGCCTGAAGCTTTGTGTGTTTGGTTCGCACACATGCCTGAAGAATAATAAAATATCAAAAAGCAACTTTTACCAGAGCAAAGTATGGAATAAATGACACATGCATCATTAAGAGTAGCTGACTGAAGCTCAGGCGTCCAAATTCGATGGCCTGGCTCAGGCTAATGAAGTTGCCTGAGGATTTAGCAAGCTAATGAAGAGTCAGGTCAGGCTAGCTCAGGATATAACAGCGCACAAACCAAACACATAGTTGTTGGAGCTCAGGCGGCGCTCCGGCCAGGCATACAAGCATCAAGACGCGAACCAAACAGCCCCTTCCTCCCTATAAAAGCAGACCAAGAGGAGTTGGTCTCATTTTCTTGGTAACAACAACCACAATACTCCATTTGTCCTATAATATAAGGTATTGTGTTATTTTTTAGAAAAATGAAGTAAGTGCTTTGGTTTAGTGCTAAATCTTGCCCTACCAAATTGTTTGTACATGTGTAATGTTTAAATTGATTCCAAAACTTGCCAAATCAATAGAAATATGTCCTAAAATATTGGTAGTTCCAAAAATTATCTAAAACTTGGCACTAGGTAAGGTGGCAATCCAAATATGCTCACAGTAAAAGGATATGTCCTCGAAAAAAGTAAAAGGATATGTGATGTTACAAAATGTGTTAGGTGAATAAATAAAATACTAGTAAAATAGTGATAGATGTGAAATAAACAGTATAAAGATGATAGGTGGGGGAGTAAAGTACTAGTATCTTAGGACCTTAGAGCAAGTAGAATAAAAGAATTGAGTAGGCTATAATATCTCCACCATGATAAAAATGATGAGCCGGAGAGAATAAGAAGAGAGAACTTGAGAGGGCGATCATATTAGCGTCGACTGTATTTAGCCTTTGAGACTAGGTGAGACCATTGTAATTGGCTAAACTTAGCACATGTCGGTGGATCTGGATCATCTAATTTACTAAAGGAACGTTACATGCGTGCAGTTATGCTATATTTGCCATCCATTTTCATCTGACAGCTCCTGCTGGCTCTCCTCCTTGTTCATATGTACAAAAGAACTTCTGACAACATTATTGGATTTAGGTTAAATCATTTAGCATCATCTACCGTGAAGTGCGAATAAAATTACATCACGATATTGTCCCAAAGAAAAGGCAGCATTTTGGTTCATGTACAAAAGAACTTAAAAAATTAATCAGTGTAATTTAAAATTAGATTAAAAAAACCTCTAAGCCAATTCTAAAATTAAGCTCTAAAATTTAAAATAGATTTCCTCTTTGTAATGTTACTGGTGATATTTATTTTGACAAGTGCTTTTATTTGTAAGTTTGATTTACAAGTGCTTTCATATGTATGTTTGTTTTAAGACAATAATCACAGGCTACAATTAAATTTTAACTATTAATATTATATTTTATAAATATTAATATTAGTTTTACCCGTTACAACGCGCATGAGCAATACTACTAGTATTAAATAAAATACAACCATTAACCCTGAAAAAGAAAGTACAACTACAAATTGGCCCTAATTTGTTAATCTCGGGGTAGGAAAACCAAACAAACTCTAATCCCCCTGTTGCAATTCCAAATCCCCGAATTTGCATCGCCATTCGCACATGCCACAACATGTGTAGCACTAGTACACCGGTAGACGTGACGTGAGCAATGAGCTTTTCGGCCGTCGCGTGCGCGAGCCGCCGGCTGCTATGCCTATGCTAGCTAACCCAAGTCGAGTAGTAGTAGCAAAGTCCGACCCGTTCACACCATCACCATCACCATCACCAAATCGATCTAAAAATACTCGCCTTCTTCTCCACCCGAGCCGAGCAGAGCAGCGAAGAGGGCAGCGAAGTCGCCGACGAGGAGGAGGAGAAGGAGCCATGGCCGCCAGGAGCTTCCAGGCCCGGTCCCCCAAGGAGGAGTCCGACGCCGCCGTCCATGGTAATCAAATCCCATCCCACTCACCAAGCTCCGAAATCCCCATCCATGGTAGCGGGATTTCATCTTCTTGCGCGGAGGAGGAGGAGGGATGAGGTTTAGATGTAGTAGTAGTAGGAAGGACGGTGTGAGATTTCTTGGGAGAAAGAGAGAGAGAGAGAGAGAGAGATCAGATCACTCCCCTTGATTGGGGGTTTTTGGGTTCGCCGCGTTGTCTTCCCAAGCTGTTTATAGTGGCTATCTGATGATCATGGTTCAATTCGGCTCTGTTTATCTAAGGCTTCCCACTTCTGGGTGCCTCAAACACAAATTCACTTGTGATGTTGCTAGATTGTGTGTGATATATGGTATGCATTGTTGGTTGAGGAGAAGGCAATGTATAATGTATGTAGTGTGCGTAATGGTTCGGTGAAGTAAGCTGCCTGAGTTCCGAATTCCGATTCATGTATGCGCGGTTGCGCACAATGCCAGTATGGTTGATTTCTTTGTGTTCTGTTCATTGCAGAGGCAGTCACGCTGGGATTGAAGAACGCAGCCATATCTGGTACCGTGGTTGCGGTCCCCACGGTATGTACTAGCTGTTTGTCATGCCAATGTTATGTAGTTTCATTCTTTAGATCAATAGTATATAGTTTCAAGTGCAATTTCTTCCTAGAAGAAACATATGTACGTTGGCCACACATTATGTTTTTTTTTTCCCACCTTTACAAATCATTGTTTCCATCAAGTGTTTGCATCTTCGTTTCAAGTATCAATAATAATGACGGAAATGGAAATCTAGTCTAAATTACTACTACTAATTTATTACAATCTGGCTCAATACCTGGTCATATGTTGGAACACTTTGATTCATCTGGCTGCATATATTCTGACATCTGCAAAAATAACATTTCTGCTGCAGTTGGTTGGTTGCCGTGTCCTTCCTTGGGCTAAGGCTAATCTCAACTACACCGCACAAGCACTCATCATATCAGCAGGTACGGTTTACTATACTACTGAAAGTTATCATTTTTCAAATTGTATTATACTAGTTATTATGACCGAAGACCTACTATAAAGTGCTAACATCTCGTAGAACTTATTTTACTGGTACCTTGGATATTGGGCTAAACCTAATGGAGCCAATGTCACTATTTTAACTTGCTGGATATATACTGTTTTACTCCCTCCGTTTCGAAATGTTTGACGCCGTTGACTTTTTATCACATGTTTGACCGCTCGTATTATTCAAAAAATTTAAGTAATTATTAATTCTTTTCCTATCATTTGATTCATTGTTAAATATATTTTTATGCAGGCATATAATTTTACATATCTCACAAAAGTTTTTGAATAAGACAAATGGTCAAACATGTGCTAAAAAGTCAACGGTGTCAAACATTTCGAAACGGAGGGAGTACAATACAGATTTGGCGTATTTCTTAGGATTTAGGACATGCATGATTTGGCTTGTTTCTCATGCATGATTTGGCTTGTTTCTTGGGACATGCAAGAAATTAGACCTTTATAAAATGTAAAGTCAAGTCTAAGGTTGATTGTGTTACTGTATTGCACTTCAAGCATTTCATTATCAGGTTCTAGGGAAAATGAAAAATGGTGCTGGCTCAAGTTTAACTGGTGTCACCAGCTCACAGCCTGGCCTTCTCTATTTTATTTTAATTTGGAATTTTTATCTTTCAATAGCCTCATCCCTCATGCCCTCATCAGATTCTAGGATAGGATTCCCATTAAATTTTAGTACTGAACAAGATGCTGCAGAGATATTCTGCTTAGTATTGACTACTGACTACTGACAGTAAATGAAGCTTGCCAGTATTTCTGTCTGTTGAAGTGAAGTACCTGAGCAATTACTGATTAGCGACCACTTGCATCTTTTTACATTCTTCTGTTCAATATGTCCTAATTCATGAGTCGCATATGATAATCACTAACTTTAGCAGTTGTTTTGGTGGATTTATCCCTGTTAATGACATTGAATGATTTCAGCTTGTTCCAATGAGCTTTGGTAGCATTTGCCTCACAAGGATATGCACAGTAGGAACTAGCTACGAGGATATACGCAGTATGGAACCGTGGAAGTTAACATGTTGTTATGATTCTGACCATTATTTTAAGTTTAGGCATATAACAATCTAGCTTTCACTACTAGATTCTGTTTCTGTAGTTTCTTTTCAATACAGACTTTATGACCCCATTTTCTTATATTGGCATTCATGTGCAGAACAAAATTGAATTGAAGACCACACTGGAAACCTTACATGTCTTCCTGTTTATTTTACAGCATGCATCGCTGGCTTCTTCATCACTGCTGATAAGGCCATTCTACGGAACGCAAGACAGAACACCATTGGGAAGATTGACAGGTCAACCTGATGCGCAACTGTACATATGAGAACGTTGTACTGATTATCCATTTCTTCGATAGCAGGCGAGGTTGATGGGAGCAATAGGAATCCATCTCTATTATTCCGTTCATCCATGGATGATTGGACGTGTACTGCAATGAATCAGCAATTTTTATGTTTTAATCTTAATTCCTTATATGAAAACCTAACCTCGCATTGTAAAGACTAGGGCTGTTGCCTTTTAGACCAGTGAATCCAGTTTGGTTCCAATTTGAAGTTGAATAAAAGATGGAAATGTAATGCTCTTTTAAGCCCATGTGAACAGCTATGCTGTGCCCCCGGTTCATCATTTTGTGTTCTTCCTTGTGACAAGTGGTGATACTGTGAAGTTATTATCAGTTTGGAGGGTTAGATCAGCTCTAGTGATAAAGATATATAAATAACTGAAGCTTGGGCAAGGTATGATAGATCACGGCTTCGGTGTCAAGAGGAGTGGTCGCATCTGTTCTGTTTCTTTGTTTCTGCAGGTTGAAACAACACAAAACAGGTTCTGATCTTTGTAACGCAAGAACAGACGACGTACGTGGTACGTACCACTAAAAATTTAGAACATATCCAGTTCACTTGTGCTGCATACAAAAGCACAGTGATGCCTTTTTTCTTCCCTGCTTGCTTGATTTTTAGGCTACTGAATGAAGAGAGCGAGGTGTAGTGAAGTGTTCTTCCCTCTTTATCCATCCCTATCCGACTCCTCCGTTCTAAGCTTGCAAGAAAAAGTTGAAAGGGTAGCAAGTCTTTCGGGCATTACAAGTGGAATTCTTGTTTGGTAATACATGGGTTTATCAGGGAAACGGCATATAAAATGCATTCTTTTTTTTTGTAGCTTTGCTGCTGACAAGACAAGCATCGTATAACTAATGGTAATGGATTTAAGAATTTCACGTGGTTAACCTTTGACGTGAGAATCACTCTCATGAGATGTGTGCAAATGTAACCCGTTCATTTTTGCGATCATACGGCACATCATGAGAAGGTAAAGCACGCAACACAACTGTTCTTACCGTGAGCTAACCAAATTAGAATCTTATTCTGGTAATTTTCTTCGTGGATCTCAATACAAATCGTAGTGGAACCTGCGGAATTCAAGTGAAGTGACGTGTCGGTCAAAAAATCGAGTTAATTAAGTCTTAAAAAGGGAGAAATATTTTTCTCCAGAGAAGATCAGAAGAACAGTGCGTTTATCTCACTGGAGACTGGAGAACAATTTTCACCTTATGAAACAGTAGCTTCACCAAAAGAAGAAGAAAAAAACGTAATGGAGGAGACTTGCAAGTAACATGATCAGGCCAAACCTCCAGGAACAGGAACAGGAAGGAAGCATTCATGGGAACGTGTAGGGATGAAAGGGAGCAACAAGGGGTTGCTTTCACAGTTCCATTAACAAAAAAGAAAATAAACAACACGACTTGACCGATATCGAAGCTGACTGGCTGCAACCATGTAACCACCTTACCAGAGACCACAATAATAAACAACCTAATCCGACACTCAAATTAGCATAATCAACTCCGTAGACAAGCAGGCATACCAATCTCCAGCTGCATGCCTTAGCCGACACCACCTTCTCGCCACCGTAATTTACCTTATCTATCCTAATCCTCAAGGATAAACAGATCAGATAAGATGCTCATCTCAACCCCCATAAGTAAGTTTATCCTCATCGTTTTCACATGCTCCCCTATAACTCACACACTACTACCACATGTAGATGCATCTAACTTATAAAGCAAAATTCTCTCAATATGTGATTGCATGATAAATATGTTTTTACTTTATCTATCTACATTAATAAGTAATAACTATGTAATAATATATGGCGTGTTTATCACCAGCCTGTCTAGAAGACCTGATGGAGCAAGGAACTTGAGGATAGCTTCGGCTTACTTTTCGGCGCCAGAGTCCATGAACCCTATCTGAATATACAGGAAACCTATGTATCTATCCATGACCCCATCAGCCCACCGGAACGGCTGTTTCTTTTTTAGTTTTATTTTTTTTATTTCACCCTATCTCTTCCTTGCGTCTACTACATATATGCACATGGGGAAGAGAGGGGAACTTAACTTGGATACTTGCCTTTGCCTTCCAAAATCTGGAGTCCAAAAATACACAGGAGATAAGCAGCCATTTGCTCCTGGAAGAATGAGAGAAGCTTGCGCGCCGGTGCCTCCTGGGGCTCATGAGGAGGCCTGCATAGAGCAAAGTGATGATCGATCTGAAGATGGTTCCTTCTCGGGTTCGTCCATCGGGTCGTCGTGCTCATCGGCATCGGATCTGAGTGATGATGGGAGTTCTTACCGTCCTGGTGATTATCTTGAGCCGTCATCGTCGTCGTCATCAGCATCTTCGAGCACATTGCAGCTGGATTCTGAAGGGCCGCTCTGTGACTTGTCCTCACTGATAGCCCAGCTTCCTATCAGGTGCTTTGCTCCTCCCCTGCAGAAGTACTCGTAGTTAGAGAAAATTGCACCATGCTTATATGAATTTCAAGTTTCGGTAGATGCTTTAACGGTGTGAAATTTGTTGCTTGTGTTCCCAATTTGTGCCAGCAAACAAGGATTTATCACCTGACTACTGTAAACTATATTAGTTGAATGAACACATTTGCAAATGATATAGTAGCTACTAGCTAGTTCATTTTTTCAACTAGACAATGATTTTCTCCGAACAGCTTTTCAGATTTGTTGGTTGAATTTTAATGATATTGCCTACCTGCTAAATTGTAGAGATTCTATTTTGCATAACATTTATGACAAGCAAAATGTTCAAATTGGGCTTGATCTATGTATGTATGCAGCATCAGGTCTTATTTGAACATTTTGTTCAAAAGACGAAATGACTGGAGAAAATAATGTCGATATTAAAAGATCAAACGTTCCAGACCACTTCCATAAAATCTACTTCAATTGCAAAATTGACACTAAATCATATGTTTTCTAACAAGTAAATTTGTTTTCTGCAGGAGAGGGCTGTCCAACTATTACCAAGGAAAATCCCAATCATTCACATCGATATCTGATGCTACATGTGTTCAGGACCTTGCAAAGAAAATTACCTACAATAAGAGGATGAAGGCGTGCAAAAGCTATGCAGCAGGACTAGACATGAATCAACGATCAAATCACTTGCCAAAGCCATGCAACAAGATGATAGCGAAGAGGCCCTCGAAAGGATCATTTACCTGTCTGCTGTCAAGACCAAGCAGCACCAGCCTCCTGTGCAGCAGTGCTAAACCACCTACACACCAGAGCAAGAAAGATGTACAAATGCATATTAACTCGTAACAAAAAATATGACCCTGGAAAGTGGAAACAAACAAGTACTAGGGTTTCAGGTATCCAGTTTCAGCTAACATGTTGTGCTGCGCTTGTACTGCTCCTTTTCACAAGGAAACTCAACTATTTTTTTTCTTCTGGGATCAACCTGGCTTCTTACATTTCCTTAAGTCCATCCATTTGAAATTCAACTACTAAAAACGGGTGGAATGAAATACAGCTAGCTAATAAGCAAAATCCTATCAGCTGGGAACTAGAGTACTCTTGCATTACATGATCGAGCAACAACTAGCAATGCTTTGTGCAGCGCAGCTATACAGGTATTCTACAGAAAAACAAAATTGGCATGAATTTGACACGTTTGCTCAGAGCAAAGGAACACTAATAGTCTCACATAAAATTTTCACTAGTTGCAAATTGCACTTTCTTGATGTTTGTTTTCTTGACATCACAGATGGGCTGGTCTGATTTTATTTCCAACACACCTCCATAAATGAGATCTGTGAAGTGTGAACAACAAAAGGATGAGTTTCATGCTATTTAAATTTAAACAAAAGGACAAATGGTTCTCACACAATCCAATGTAAATAGAGTAACGTAATCTAAATTTAAAAAAATACATTACCTGAAGGAAGTAGCAAACTTTCCATCCACACCCATATCCCTTTCAAAAGTTTAAGGGTACAGTAATTTCTCTTCCAGCCCAAAAGGACGGTGGTATGAAGTTTGTTTTCTTACATGCTTCAAAATAGACATGTCCAATGTGGAATCCTTGTTTGTTTTCCTTTTTGTGCATCACATATGCATGTCATTTCTTCTTATCTCAAGCTTATCACCAAGCTTTTGCTTAAGAATGGTTAAGTAAATATGTTGCTTAGCCATCTTGTGTAGTCTCCCACAGCATCAAGATCAGACTGCATAGGAGAAACAATTTTGTAAAAGAAAAAAAAATATTGTTAGCGGCGATGTTCCCTTCTAAGAGAGCACAATCTAGAGAGCAAAATTACGCACAAAATGAAAAAGGTAAATGCTTTCTTTGATGGAAACAGATACATACATCTTCAGTTATTCCAAGATGATCAAGTAAAATCCTTATACCACCACCCTTTGAAGCATTAAGTGGAACAATCTCAATCATACTTGAATGCGCTTTGATAACACGTGCTCTTCCTTGTGTTAGTTCTGACCAATGCTGTCTCAGTACAGATGAATCCCCATCCACTTTGTCAAGGAAAAGCAACTTCTGCACGTGCAAATAAATTGTGTAACTCCAATCCAAATAAAACTGGTCTAAATATCTATCTGGTTGACTTACTGAAGATTCACCGAGGATTGTTAAATAGTACTTCCTCCGTTTCACAATGTAAGTCATTCTAGTATTTCCCACATTAATATTGATGTTAATGAATCTAGACATATATTTATCTAAATTCATTAGCATCAATATGAATGTGGAAAATACTAGAATGACTTATATTGTGAAACGGAGGGAGTAGTTTTCTAGCCATATTCTAGAAACCCCATCTTCAAGAGATTTGTGTAAGCCCTCCTATGGGTTAGCTTAACTTTTTATGGATTTATTTTTATGTTGGACAGCCAAGAAGGGAGCATACATCAGGAATTACTACATTTAACACTACTGGTTGAGTGGCTGCAGTGATTAGAATGGAAGATTTTTGTCTGTATTCCAGAATGCTAATAGAGAAAGGCTTTCAGAAAATAGCAGCTCTACCGCTATTGCTAGTTCCGGCAGTGGTTATCCAGTCATGGACTCGAGTCGTGACGATAATGTGGATAATTCAACTACAATTCTGTCTATTTTGGAAGGGTCCTCATGCTATATCACAAGTTCCCAGCAACAGCTGCTCTTTTACCACATCGCAGTGTTACTTCAAAAATTGTTCAACTAATATATACTAATGCATTTCACAGTAAGGTAGAAAGGCATACTATCCTTAACAGATATGATATGTAAACTTTTGCATGCCAAAGTTACGGATAGACAAACCTGAAAAGATGAATACCCCAAGAGGTCCTCAACTGAAGGCACCACTTTTACCTATGAAGAGAATTTAACATTTACTCAGCTGCCGACCATTGTTAAAAAGGAAGAAAAGATAAGTTTGCGTAGCAAATATCTTTAGATCAGACCTTGGTCTCATAGTGGATTGTGTGCAACAAATCAACCAAAGGATGTTCAAAGAGGGTCAAACATTGTTCCTCATGGTATGCAACAAGAGGTATACTATACTTCAAGGAGTACAAAAATGCCTGCAAATGGAGGAAAAGACACATCAACATGACATCTAACAAATGTTAACATGCAAAAAAGAGACACATTACCAAAGCGAACACATTTCATAAATCCAAAAAATCCAAAATCAATGATAGAGAAGAGAAAAGTTTCAACAAACTCAATCAGTCTCAATAAGATGCCCAGAAAATTATCCTGATAAAGAAATAGTACGTAAAATATTAACATTTCAATGATAAAGTGCAGATCTGATGTAACATATAAGTAATTATACTGCCACAAAAGCACACCTGATAGTAGAAAACAAGAAACAATTAGTTGGCATCATGATTGTACCTCCTTGCAGATATCCAAACCTAAGTTTGCTCTGTAAATCTCTTGGCCGTGCCTTCCATAAACAAGTGAACCCTACAGGAAACAGCGCATTTTTTAAGAAATCTGTAAGGGTAAAATGTCATAGCAAACATAATAAATAATATGATATGACTAGATCAAATATGAAAAGAATGATGAGATCTCAACATTCACTTCCTTGTATATTATGCTCTCATATAGGCTTGCAGAAAAAATCTTAATAAAATCCTACTTCCATATGTAACAAATGAACTATGGAGTACCTTTTTACATAACTGAGACAGCTCACATGGATTGGCAAAACCTTGAGCAGTTCAATTTAATTCAAGAATTTAAAGATGAACGAATAAAGCAACAATATATGGCATCCTATCTTTAATGCTATGTCCTCTCTAGAAGACCAGTTCTATATAGAACCATTGCATGTTATATAAAAAGCGTGTGCTCAAAAGCAAGAGGTACACCAAACTGCACATACTGGCATATCCACACATTAGACCACTGGGATGTTTAACCATAGAGTAACATACAATAAACTGAAGCCTAAACTGAATGGTCCCGAATCCCGATTCCTGATTCTAATAAATGTTTTATTAAAGAACAGGTTGTGATGGAAAACATCTTCACCAATCACCATTATATCGCAGGGGAACAGATAAGGTAAGATAACATGGCCACAAAGCTCTGATAACCAAAACAACTTTTCTCAAATTATTCAGGTGAAACTGGAGAGTATGTACCTGTAGAAATACACCAGGTGAACTCTCTGATATAAAACGATATTTCCCTCCCAAATCAAGAAGCCTGAAAGTTCTTATTGTGGAAGCCCGGGTCTAAGGGAAATAAATCAAGAGAACATTATTACAGTGAATACTGATATACTCAGCTGGCTTGCAAATAAGAAAATTGATTCCTTTAAGCACTAAACATCCTCCTGCGGTAACTCCCCTTTCATCAGGGAACTTTAATATTCCAAATTTCTAATACTCTGTTCTTCTATAAGAAAGCTAGAAATAGCATTGATAATATGTTGAAGAAAGCAGTCTACAGTTTAGCATTCACTTCAGATAGGTGCCACATTCACTTTGCATGCACGAATACATGAAACCCACCTTTCCAGTCACCGTGATAACGTTTATTCCCCTTGAAACTGCCTCTCTCAAAGATTCTATTGATTCTTCATGCGGGTATCCTTCATTATCCACAATGCCTTAACATTTATATAGAAGAAGTTACCTGCTAGAACTAGGAAAGGTCCAACACAAACAGCATACTTCTATATGCTCCATCAACTCACCATCTATATCACATACGATATGGCTCAGTTTTGGTTGATGAACTTCCCGTAGGTTAATTTCATCTGAATCTCTACTGGCCTCTGCATGCAATGGGGAAATCAGTGGGAACTCCAATTAGAAGAAATTGACTGACAACATAAAGAAAAAGCATGCTAAAATGTGTGAAGATACCTACCAACATAACTTTGTGAATGATCCATGTCATGAATGGAATCATATGCACTCTTAATAAGTCCTTTCCCTTTCCAATCTAGAGAATTTAAGATATGTTCTTCCCCGCTCTCCATCTCTTCTTCAGCCACTTTGCTGAGCTCATGATCAAAGCCCAATAAATGCAATAATCCGTGCACCTGTTGGAGTTCGTTAGCATTGAATAGGATTACAATCTACTCCGAAATTGGGAATTAGGAAATAAAATAAGATGATGAAAATGCACCGGATCACCACATTAGACCAAAATAATAATAATAAAAAGTGATGCTAGAAATGAGCGAAACAAACCATGAGAATTCTTATCTCATCATGCAGTGTATGGCCCCTTTCTTCCGCTTGCCGTTGTGCAGTGTCAATAGAGATTACTATGTCACCCAACTGCAGCTGTCAAACAAACACAAACATATCAGAAAAAAATGGTAATCAAACAATATGTTAGTCATGGTATTCATCGACTCAATGGTACACATACAATGGGAATGTCCAGCCCGGGGATATGCTGCGACATTGATAGAACATCCGTAGCGTGATCCTCGTCCCTCCATTCCTTATTCAGTTTCCGAATGAAATCGTCATCACAAAGCAGTATAGAGACCTCAACAGTATCGTACTTATTCACATCGCTTATACAATTGTCTCTGGTTTTGTACTCCGAGTTTTCGAGGTGGTCAAAGGCCACCTTCGCTGCCTTAGCAACATCCATTTGAAGCGCTTCTGCAATGCTCTGCATAGCAACTCAGGTCATAAGAGGGACAAACAATTTCAACATTTTTCAGTGCAAGAACCGTATATAATAAACAGAGCAAATTAGCTTCAAATCGTCAAATGCGATAGATAATTTTATATGGAAATGGTGAGAGAAACGCACGCAGAAGCTACTATTACCAGGATAGTGGGGTCGTCGGGGAGGGCTTCCTCGATGCCAATCTGCACGTTGAGCTCGGCGGGGCCCTCCCGCGGCGGCCGCCTCGCCCTCCTCCGCCTCAGCAGCATCGGCGGCGCTCGCCTCCGGCGTCCAGGTGTCGACGACGCGTAGTGCCGCGAGGCCGCGGCGAGCGAGGAGTGGGGCACGCCGCGACCACCGGGAAGCGGAGAAGGAGGAGAAGGAGGACGCGGTGGCGAGGGGAGCAGCGGTGGGAGGAGGCTGGAGGAGGGCGGCGGAGACGGGAGGAGGTGGTGGTGGAGGGGGTGGGAGGCGAGCGCGCGGGAGAGGAGGAGGTGGTGGAGGCGCGCCATGGAGGAGCGCGAGGGGTCTAGAAGATTCTAGAAGGTTTTTAGCCGGAGGAGGAAGACGGTGGCGGCAGGAGGGAGGAGGGAGATAAGAAAAGGGTTTAGGGCCGGGCCTCCATTGGCCCTCCTAAATGGGCCGGTTTAACTAACGGTTTGCGACACAGTTGGTTGAAGGAACAGCGTGGACACTAGACAGTGCATGATTGATTTTATTTCAAAGTATTTTTGTTTTACTAGATTTGAAGTTTCAAACATATCATACAGGAAATTTATGTTGTGTATTAACGGTACACGAATACAAAGCAACATTTCATTCATTTCAAAGTTTAATTTTTGTTTGTAGCACAGTGTACACCATAGGAGTACTTCTCATGATGGCATGAGTGCATGAGACATAGACCTGCCTGTTCAAATAAAACCCATATACTCTGAGCTCCGTATAATAATGTAATCTCAAGCTTTATTACTTAGTACAAATGTACAATATAGTATTAATTGGTCAGAACAACCATCACTGTTATTGCCAGGTTATAGACTGATACATGGTGACATGTTTTGCTAATGGATAGAGGACCAATTGTTAATCTTTGCATATAGGACACAGATAACTGAACTGACCTGTGTACTACAATGATAGCAACAATACTACAGACTTTGCTGCTCACCAATTAACCAAGATTATTACGATTTATAATCTCAGGGACACATCCCAGTTGCTTCCCTAGTATCCCCAGTGTAGAGATAAGCCACCCTGTTGTCGAGCATTGACATCACCTGATGCGCGGCGAGTCCTGCGTAGCACTTGTGATGTGCCGAAATGCAGATGTCAGTGATGGCCCTGGACATTTCATCCTCCTGATGGAATGGCTGGCTGACAAATTCTTCGACCGGCATCCACTGAAAATGATTATAGCGGGCATAACCCAAAAAATCATTAGTGAGAGCTCAATCATCTAAACTAGTAGTACAAACTACAAAGTATCTGAATTATGGTTAGGGAGTACCCTTGCTGCTTCAATCTCGGACTCGTCGATAGATATGTCAGATGAGAGTGGCTTGAGTGTGCATATGAAGAGTATATCCGATTTATCGAAAAGGACTTGATGCGCATGTCTGTATGAACAGAGGCAGAAACGTGAAGAAGAAAAAAAAAACATGAAGGAACTCTCAGCAGTAAAAGGTTCGAATAACTCCATTGATTGTACTTGACAATTACCTGAAAGCAACGACATCCAGGAAACAACTTTCGATCTGAAAAGTGGAGTTCTTGTAAAACATCAAAATAACATTTCATCTTAAGTAGCATAGTTCAGTAAAACAAGTCAAAACAGTGTAATTACCCCAGTTTCTTCTCGAACTTCTCTTATGGCTCCAGAAAACAAATCTTCAAACTGATAGCAGAAAAAGAAATAATATAAGATTAGTAAAGCCAACATAAACAGCTTAAACAAAACATAGACCTTTTCTTGAATAAGTTTGACATGACTTGGCTATTGGTTTTTACACAGAGAAAAAAAATTGGCTTTTGACTTATCATAGATCAATAATTTGTTTTACTAGGGAGTCTCCGCTCTGTGTTTTGTACCTTATCTATAAAGCCCGTAGGGATCTTCCAGATGTCTGAACAGTGCGATGGACATTTTCCTTCTTTGACAACAAGCACCTAAAATCAAAGGCATACATTACAAACACAATACATACGCAGATAAATGGTTGCTTTTTTCTTTCGTTCAGAAAGTATATGACAAGGCAAATAGGCATAATCCAGAAATTATCAAAACCTCGTTTTTGTCATTCATGACAAATGCTCCAACACCAATTTGATGCAATGAAGTGGAAGGCAAACCGGGAGGTCCATCTGGAAGCCAGAAAGTTAGCATCACGTACCCTGGCTCTGCATGATGATAAACAAAGCCCGCCTAAAAAAATTGTAAAACAAATAAAGTTAAGGTTGCCCATCTAAAAAAATGTAAAACAAATAAAGTTAAGGTTAACTGCAATTTTTAACTGATTAGTTAAGAGGTAATGAGGTATTGTTATCAAACAAAAGAATGTAAGAGACATGAAAAGAAAATTGGCATAGACGGTTTTTTTTTTCCTTTCCAGCAATAGTGGCATACATTAGCCAGCCTTCAGTGAAAAGAATATTATGCTCTTTCAGATAAGTCTGATGCTAAACTAAGGTCGATAAGATAAAAAAACTTATAATAATAAGATTAACTTGCCTTTATTGCAATTGGAACTAGATCAGCTTGATCTTCCTGTATCTTCAACCAAACCCCCCTTTTCCCCTGCAGTAATGAATTAATCAACCCCCTTTTATATCCATCTACTTTCTAGCAATATGTATGTGTATTACCTGCTTATTCCAATAACAAAGTGAGGACTGGAGTGATGAAGAAAATGCATTGGATGTATTTGGTAAGGAAGTAGGGTTAACAACAATGCCACCATAATCATCCTCAAAGGCATCCAGCACATCAATAGTTCCAAGCAATGGTGTATCTGAAATAGCTGCATTAGTTCCCTTGCTTAAGGTCTTGCCACCACTGAATATTGACAATTTCAAGCAAGGCTGTCTGAACACTGAACCTGCAAAATATAACACTGTAAGATACAGCTACCAGAATCTGAGAAAAAATTATGCATAATATAGTAAGGTAGTTTGGCGAAATACATTGCAAAGCTGAGAAAAACTATCACACTGAACAATGAGTTAGGAGATCAATCAAATTGCCAGACCCTCAGGTTTGCTATTCCAAACAAACCAACAAACAAAGTAAAAAAATATCAGACTAATAATACTTAAATAGCACAAATCAACATGAAAAACATAAGAAACTGATTGCAGCTTCTTGTTTCTCTAGAAGCAGATGCAGTAATGCACACTAACATTTTTTCTTTATTAGAAAGTTGAATAAAGATTTCACACGTCATCACCTGCTGCTATGCCAAAACTAACTTGTTTTGTACTTGAAATCCTCGGATGAGGCAAAGAAAGATAGCTCTTTGAATATGATGAGGGCAAAACAAATGCCATTGGTTTTCACTCGCTGAACTTGAAGTTGTGGCAATCCTAAGAGACCTATGCGTCTTAAATAGATCTGGGAAATATACAAATCACATAATAATATACACCACCTACACATGTCCAAGTGGTGTCCCCTGCTGTTATTTCAAGGAGAAGCCATCTAAAATCTCACTCCAATTTGGACCAGAAAATAACCTTTTTAAGTGGGAGTACATGCCATATTAGCCTCCACAACGGAATGATTCCCAACTTTGCATATTGTTAAGGACCTATTGGGATCACAGAGAATTGAGATCAGAACTCCAATGGAATACACGACTATATTGCAAGTAAACCTCACATAATTCAAAATAATTGGGTGGAAGTCTCCGGAAGCATGTTCTATCAACTGTCACCATTGGCAATTTCATGGTCTACTTGTCAAATAACTGTAAAATTCTTTAAACACACACATTATAAAAACTTATATTACATTTAACTTAAATTTCATTTGACATTAAAAACGACCTTAGCAAGTATCAAATTTTAATTTGTACTGGAAAAATATAGCTTATTAACTTCCCAAATCTGCAGATTACACTCTTAAGATTGTCCTTTCTTTGCTTAGTAGTAGTGGTTATTTGTCCTTGTCTCCACAAAATAAGGAGACATGCTCAGCTCAAATAAATATTAACAAAAATCGAGTTCCATCATATAGTTCAATTCCTTGGATTGAGAAAAACTAAACATAGTTTTGATTAAAGAGTATTTGAAGTTGTGTGGCGATAACCTTTCTTGCTGTTCCTACAATTTTGACAATGTGGTAAAGAGTCCAAGACCAACTGATTCACTATTTGATCCATGTCTGGAACATTGGGCCTTACAAACAAATATAATGGCAGGTCCCAAACCATCAATAAATGCAGTAGAAAAATGATGGCCAGAAGGTACCGTTGATGAACTTTTAACAAAATACAGTGAGTAAAGAACAATATTCTGTACTGAGTATGTTGTAAAAGATTGAAGTTGTCATTGCATCACTCTATTCCTGAATGTATTCACTTTTACAACATATACTCAGTACAGAATATTGAGAATGTGTTAGGCATTCCCTTTTAATATGCATATTCCCCAACACAATATTCTTACGTAGCCACTGAGCCATCCAGAATCAGGCAACTGCAGCCACCATTCTTTTGCTATGCTGCTTCTTTTTTTTTTTTAAAGAGCACTATATCAAATATTATGGTAGAAAAGATAGGATTTTATGTTCTTTTGAACTTTGTTTCGACCGCAAAGCAATAAAGAATAGTTAGAAATATATATATATTTTTCAAAACGTCTGTCTCCCTGAATAATATAGCATCAGTAAATTGGTAACGATCATGAAAATCTAGAATTGATGGAAGGGAAAAACAACTTAACATCAGATTTGTCCATAGAAACATGTTTGTATAGAACGATATAATGCAATGCTATTGCAAGCAGCACACAAGTTCAACCAAGAACAGGACATGGATCATGATGCAAAATGAAGTATCTGAACTTAAGATTAATCAGCTGTTTCCTTCACCAAGTTACTAGTTGTGATTATAATACTTGTGCTAGCAGTTGTGTCTTCTCAGTACAATTTTCACTGAACAGATGCTAACATTTAGCCACATATTTTGCAACACCCGGCAACCTAAATTGAAGCTACGCCACTAATCCAACAGAGTGCTACAACTCTAAAATTGCAAGATTCGGTATGCATGGCTATCATTCATTTCCAATGTCCAACTTGACTCCAGACGACATAAGTGAGGAGCGAGCCTCACTTACAAGCAACTGGCCTATTGGTGCAACTTACTAAGACACTCCGACCATCACTACTCACTAAGTTACATTGAGCAACCATTACATCTGACAAATGGAAACAATACTACCATGGGAAGACACAGTATGGCAAAATTTACAGTGGCCTGATTAAACATAGAGAATTGAGCTTCATAGTGTGACAAACTACATATCAAACCAAAGGCTTGTCTGTATGGAAACTACTGATGTCCAGGTAACAGTAACATTTTCAGCAACAGAAGCTCTTTTAAAATAAAAAGAAATCTTCACCAGTTGGCAGATTACCTGACAATTTGAAAGCATATTCTAATGTTGTCCAGAAAGGTTGACAGAAGCAAATCCTACCCACACAAAAGGTCATCCATATCTTATCCTATTGAAACAGAAAATTCTTGTGGCAAATTGCAAGGATTGAGAATACAATGAAATAAGATATTTACAATTGTTTGGAATACTATTTCTTTTCAAGCTGAAACTAGTTGGGAAGGAATCTGGTTTCATTCCTCTTGATTGCTACCTGAGTGGTGACAGCAGGCACAAGAATATGGACTACTGCAAATGTTGGACTAATGGAAAAGATACTGGACAGTGAAAGTGTTACATTTGTTCTGTTTTATTAATATAGTAACTTGAGGTCATACAATAGGAAACACAATGGTATTAAAACAAATTACCACTGAGTGCCAAAGGAATTCTTACTTTTTAAGAATAATTTATACAGCTATTGTACATACTGCAGAAAGAAATAAAGGGGGTTTAAATAAATGCTACAACCAGTAACCAGGCTTGCTACAAACTCCAAAAACAGCTTTCATAGCCAGCAATAGAAGCATTACACAATAGAAACTAAATGAAAAAATTAATAGAAAACAATGTAGCAGGACCAAACATTTGTGGACATAAATAATACAAAAGCTACATAGGAACGTTACAACATATTTTATAATGTTTGGTTGATTACAGTAGACAGTAATTACTCAGTAACAGGCCCCCAGGGTCCCAGACAGCAGCATCACTATCAATGAAAATTGAAACATGGAATGTTCTATATACTACTACAATACAATGTTTGGGTAACCGTAAACATTTGATCAGAACAAAGCAACAACAAATAAAAAATTGCAAAAGAGGATCCTCTCTGTGGCCACATTTGGGACACGGGAATTATTTCCTGATTCCAGTAGGTGAAATGTTCCATTTAAAATTCCCATGATCCAAACAGTAACTAAAAGAAACAATAGATCCATGTTGTTTCAGCCCTTTAACGTCAACAGACCTTATAAGAAAAACACATTCAGGGCAATTAATAGCTAAATGTACAGTTGTACGTATCTACTTGACTATTTGACACAGATTAAGGATGTGTTCGATAGTAGGGGTTGGGATCTTCTCTCACGCACACATAAAATGGAGCAAGTTATTAGTGCATGACTAATTAAGTATTAGCTAAAAGAATTTGAATATCGATTAATATGATTTTTTTTTCAAGCAACTTTCCCATAGAAAAGTTATGCAAAAAAACATACCATTTAGCAGTTCGGGAAGCGTGCAAGTGGAAAACGAGGGAGTAGAGGTTGGGAAAGGGGAGAAACGAACGCACCCTAACATTCTTTGCTTGAAATTGTGTGGCTCCATTAGGGCTACAACTTGGTTACTTTGTTTTATGTAACCAGCTAATTTCTATAGTAAATCATCTATGCAAAGGGATTTTTTTTTTTTTGCGGGGAATTGAACAATGAAAAAAAGGGAGAAAGGTGGGAAAGAGAAGAAAAAAGAAGAAAGGAACGTATGGTCCTACTCCTTTTTCAATTAGGCATATCTCAAATAGTGTTTTTTTTTTTAGTCGAACATTTCAAAGGAAAAACTTTTAAGTGGAAAATCTAGAAACCGGACAGTCTAGAGTGCCATACATCTAAATACCACTTTCCTGGCCTAATTGGGAAGCCAAAAAATCCTGGTCCATCTAACATGGCGAGTCAGGATTCTGGGCCTTCCCAAATGATCCTAAAATATTGTAGCATAGTATATTGATATTGTGACAGTGTTACTAAATTATTTCAGAATTACATATGGCCTTTCCACTGTATATTGAGGTGGGAAGCATAGGTATATTCTCGTGGAATATCCCGTAAAAACACCATCACAGGGCAATCCAATCAGCCTAATAATTATCTGACGGGAAAGGCAGCTTTTGTACAAAATGTACTCATCAAATATCTGTTGATTAGTTATAACTCGAAGAAAAACAATTGATGTCTCCATGTCACCTTAAATATTTCAAATTTCACAAATACATCCCAATAAGCGGAAACAACATGCAACTTCTACAGGTAATCCGTAATCAAGTAGTAACCTTGTAGGTCAAGTTTCGTATTATCTGTGATATGTACATCAAATACTACAGAAACAGTTGGCTATAATGTTCTCCATACTATAATCATCCTCAGAATATAGGGAAGAAAGCAGCAGGGTTTACATCTTAAAAACAAATTGGCTGCATAATCAGCACTTAGAGATAGTGAAAAAATAATAATGAATACTAGTTCATAACCAAATCATCTGGTTACTGTAAATATGATCTCCAATATTTAAAAGATAGCTTGTTTGCATGTTGTAGAAGCTTATATGACTTCAAAGCAGAACTCTTACCACTTTTGGAAATGTCTTCAATATCACACCAGAATTTTCTCTTGTAATATGATGAACCTTAAAAGATACGAAGGATGCATTCATTACATCTGCCATTTCCAAAGCATTGTAACTACATGAATCTGCATGCCCTTTGAACTTGAAATGAGGACACTTTAACATTTTGAAAGTCGATGGCACATTAAATGCTTAGAATCAGGGTGTAGGTAGCTGCGCAGTATGCCTGATCCAGTGATCCTTAGCTATCATTCTGGAGGAGAAAGTGAACCAAAATTTTCAGTTGATGGTTTGATGCCAATCTGGAAATTATGCACAGTCCCCAGATACACATCACAGAAGGTATGGACCTGAAGAACTAGGGAGCTCCCTGGAAATTTACCAAGCCATCCTCATCTCAATGGGCTGACAACCCAACCTGAAATCCGAGTTGGCTTACGTATTCTTACTGTTCGTTGAGATCTACTTTCCAGTCGCTCAAGTATTGAGTAAGTTATTGAGTCGGGGATTAACCCTTGTTGCTTCATAGTTTCATAAAGTTTATGAGCTTCTTCTGTCTTTCCACGTCTCTCCAGACAATCAAGTAAAATGTTGTAAGTTACAATATTAGGGGTGCATCCCTCTGATATCATCTCATCGAATAAGCTGCATGCCATCTCAACCTTATTGGATTTTCCAAAGCACTCGATTAATATGCTATAAGTAAACACATCAGGATCATATCCTTTCTCTTGCATCTCTTTGAAAAGCATATGGGCTTCATCAAGATCACCATGTTTTCCTAGACAGTTTATCAAAGAATTGTATGTGACAACATCAGGCTTACAACTGCTAGCCTCCATCACTTCAAAAAGTTCAGACGCTTTATCAACTAAGCCAACTCTACCATAACTTGAAATCATAATATTGTAGGTAAAAACATCAGGAATAATTCCATTTGTTTTCATCTTGTCAAAGAGATTGCTAATGAAAGAGACCTGCTTGAGCTTTCCAAGAGCTGAAAAGACCATATTGTACATGCCAACATCTGTAACAATCCCTTTTTCAGGCATCATATGTAGCAGGTCGATCGCCTCTAATGTTTTCTCTGCATTACATAACACCTCAAGCATTGATACAAAAGCATCCCTGTCCCCTTTCTCATGGGAGTTCCACATGCGACAGAATACATTATGTGCCTCACTTGCATGACCAGATTTGCAGAGTGACTTCACCAAATACGAATATATTGATCTGTTCATAAATCTACTACAGATATCTAGAACCTCATTCAGTCTGTGCAGCTGCCCTTCTGTTGCCAAGATATCCAGTGTAATGCTGTATGTGAATTGATTGGGTTGGCAGTCATTCTCGACCATTTTGGAGAGTACAAAAATTACCTTGTCCACCATTTTGTTCTTGCCAAGAGCCTCAATAATAGTATTAAACGCAATCAGGTTAAGAACACATCCTTTTGATACCATTTCATCAAAAAATGAGAGAAATTTTGAGGTCCTCCCAGCCTTTCCAGACATTCTGATAAGTATAGTATATGTGTATGCATCCGGTACACAGTGTTTTTGTTTCATATCTTCAAAGACTTGGAAAGCTTGGTCAACCTAATCAACTAACAAAGGTCAGCTGCCAAGTTTTGAGGAATAAGCACTGAACGATATGCACTTTCAAGATGCATGGTATGTCAAATATAAAAAAAATATAGAACAGGATGAGATACAAGAGGCAAGATTCTTGTTGAACGGCAATGGTTAGAATCAGACAACCAAACAATTTTCTGTCTGTGCTCCACTACCACTCGATTCATATTTCACAATGTGCAAGTTATCAAGAGAAATGCTTCTCCACATGTATTCACACATGGCTACATGTACTATACTAAACATCCAAAAAAAGCTTCAATATTTGGCAAGGACACCTCAATGAATTAAAGACGAGTTGGTTACTTTGCATTTTTGAAAGTTTGCATCAATTTTGATGTGGTGATAGTACATTTACCAGCATGTACATGTGGAAAACCCATTCTCGGTTATCAAACATAATCTTCTATGTAATTGGAACAATATTACACAAAAGAGATATCAGAGTCTACTATTTTTGTACAACACAACCAATTTCCAGTATTACTTTTAAAATCAACCTTGACATGATATTCCTCTATGCCACCCTAACAAGGTACTCTGCCTCTTCCTCTTCCATTCCCTCCCCCCGGTTTGCCACTGTTCACCACCCTTGTCTCCTCTCTCACTGCCTCAGGCTACAGCGATGGCATAGGAGTGTCCATTTTGCATCATCCCAATGGCAAACGAAAATACTGTTTTGTCAACTATGCAAACCAACCATGCTTGATCTTTTAGTACGTGAGGAACTGATGCTCAAAACTTAGCAAATAGCTATCTTAACTTAGACTACATTACTAGCAATATATGCTAGTATGCCAAAACCATTGGCAATGGGAGTTTTTTTCTTAAAAAAAAATGAACGGGCTACCATCAATCCATCATAGAGGGCAATTTCAGTTTATAAGCAAGGGCATTATATTGTTGCAATTTCAGTTTGATCTTGGTATTGATGTCATCTTAGGTCACATAACATTAGGTATGATGTCATCTTCATACCTAATGTTTGCAAATATGACTCCAATTCTAGGTCAAACAATCAGAGAGAAACATATCGACAGCATGAAACAATGATTCCACAGAGACATTCCTAGATTAGCATTCATTCCACAAACACCACCAATTTAAACATATGCAAAAGTTAGCCGATTATCGTACCATTCCAGCCTTGGCAAGCGCGTCGAGAAGCATGTTATACGCAAAGATATCCAGCTTGTAGCCCTTCCTCCGCATTTCCTCATACACCTGGAACCCCTTGGACACCTCCCTGCTCCTCAGATGCGCCTGCACGATGCACTTGTAGGTGTACCCACTGAGCCTGAGCCCCCACTTGCTGGCCAGCTCAAGGCACCTCTCCATCTCCACGCCGCCGCCGCCCATCCCAACCAGCAGGTTGATCGTGGAGATGTTGCCGGCGACGCCGTCCCGCTCCATGTCGGCGACGAGGCGCAGCGCCTCGGACGGGCCGGCCCTGGTGCGGAAGAGGAGTGCCAGGATGCGGTTGTAGGAGAAGGCGTCGTGGCGGAAGCCCGGGAGCGAGGCGGCGGCGAAGCGGAAGAAGGCGAGCGCGAGGGGCGGGTCCCCATAGAGCGCCTTGACGACCTCGGAGGCCTCGGCGGCGGTGAGGGTGAGGCGGAGCCCGCGGAGGTAGTCGGCGAGGTCTAGGAGCGGGGACGGGGAGGCGTGGGAGCGGAGGATGCGCGCGGCGGCGCAGACGAGGTGGCGGCGCGGGAGCGGGTAGCCGCGCGGGTCGAGCGGCGTCGGGGGAGGGGTCGGGGCGACGGTGACGGTGAGGGAGGGGCCCGCCGGGGATGGCCGCGCGGCGGCGATGCGGCCGGAGTAGGTGGTCGCGAGGCGGCGGGGCATTATTTTTTTTTCGTCGGCGAGGGGGGAGACGCCGGCGGAGTGGGCGCCGCCGCCGTGCTTATTACGGGCTTCACTGACAGGTGGGGCCCTTGTATTTCGGCCAAGTGAGGCTCCTAAAAGGGCCGTTCGTGGGCCTGTAGCAAATTACTGGATTGTTGTTGAGTGGGCCGAATCTAACCCATCCATGTGTTGTATGGGCCCTCAGTTTTTTTCTTTAAGACAACTGTTGTTTTTCTTTGTTTGAATTCATTTTTTATTTTATTTATCAAAATATTTAGAAATAAAACAGAAAACGAAGTAGTCTATTAACACGTGATTAATTAAGTATTAGCAAAAAATTTGGAAAGTGAATCAATATGATTTTTAAAAGCAACTTTCATGTATAAATTTTTTTAAAAAAAACACACGTTTAGTAGTTTGAAAAGCACGAGAATGGAAAATGAAGAGAGTGAGTTGTTAACTCAAAGAAACTAACTGAGCCTAACACCCTTCCAGAGGACCACTATGGAGCTTCATGCCTCAGCAATCTTCCGAGAGCTCGGGCGTACGATAACGTTGCAAACGAGTGAAATGTGGAGGTGATGCAACGAGGGTTTCTAGGAAGTCGATGCCGCGAGGTGAAGCGCAAGCGAGTGAGGAATAGATTGGGGGTGGGGGGGGGGGGGGGTAATTAAGGGCCGGTTTAGATCCCACCCAAAAATTTACGCCCTGTTATATCGAACGTTGGAACACCTATATAAAATATTAAATACTATAGGCTTAAAAATAACTAATTACACAGGTTGTGACTACTTTGCAATACGAATCTTTTAAAACTAATTGCTCCATGATTTAACAATGTGGTGCTACAGTAAATATGTGCTAATGATAGATTAATTAGGCTTAATAAATTCGTCTCGCGGTTTAGTGACGGATATTTTAATTAGTTTTTTCTATTAGTACTTGAACACCCTATACGACACCTTGTATAATATCTGATGTGACACGTCAAAACTTTACTCCCCTGAATCAACCCCCCTCAGTTGGGCACTGCGGATACAATTTTGTCTGTGGATCTAGCTCACTGCCCAAGACTGAACCATTTGAAATGCCACTGGCACTGTGAGAGCCGTTCGCAAACGGTTTTATTTTAGAACAAACAAACGGTTCTCTGGGCCTATTTGGCACATGAATTAAGTTCCTCGTATGTGTGGCGTGGCCTACACAGCTACACTCACAGCTACACTCATCGCACTAAAATTCCAATCCTATTTTACTATAAAAAAATTATCTTCCACTAACTACTTAAGCTTAACATAACATATAAAGATGCTACATCATCATCCACTAACAAGATGTCACATCATCCTCCACTAACAATCATCACATTTAAACATTATGTAAACATGTTGTATCTTTATAATTTTTATAATTTAAGAGAGCTTTTCAAATACAAACATGTTAAATTATCATCCAAGATAATTCATATAATGTTTCAATGTATATCTTTATTATGTTTTATGATATCCTATATATTTATATAGTTCATCCTCACTTAGTTAGTGCTTAAATGATTAATCTATAGTTTAAATTATCTTTCTCCTTTTTTCCTCTAATGAAGTCATATCACATCAATTGTTTTTAGTCTTTAGATGATTAATCTACGGTCCAAACTATCTCCCTACTTTTTTTCTTCCATAAAATCATACTACCTTACTTTTTACGTTTGAATCACCATTTTACATACTATTCAAATTTAAATTTTTCATAAACCATATTAATTTACTTAATCTGATATTATCTAGCTATTTTACACGTTATTTTTTTATTGTTATCATAATAAATTCCCGCAGTAAAACACGGGGTTTCACATAGTTTTCTTAATAGTGTCCGCCGTCTCACAACATTGCTGCTCGTCCAAGCAGCAGTAGCATAGTTACATCTTACATGTGGACTGAGCCGAGTATCTCTCTTGTAGCATAATCCTTTTGGCACAACATTGATTTTCTCGTCGCCAATACCTCCTCCGCAGTACTAGGCCCATTCAGGCCACGGGCTATATATCAAAAACAAATATCTCCTTCCTTTAGTACTTCAATTAATTTTAAACACACTTTTAACAATTAATTTTATTATTAAAAAGTTGTATAATTATCATTTATTTTGGGCTGCAAACCGATGTCTGCATCCAAGCCCAAACCGCCGGGGCCGGGGTTACTGCGCCCTGGCGGTAAGCACGGTTACCGCGCGGTAACCGCGGTAACAGTGAAAAACCATACAAAACCGTGCAAAATTCATCAAAATTTTAAATTATTTTTTAAATTTATTTAAATTTAAGGAGGTTACCACGGTATTTACATTACCGTACCCCGCGGTAAGCCCGATAACCGCGGTAACCGCGCGGTTACCAGCGGTATGGTGAACCATAGTCTGGACTAGAGTAGTAGTTAAGAACCACGACCGCGCCAAAAAGGAGCCTGGATAGTTAAGAACTCAGAAGGATATGAGTAGTTTGATCAGCGGTCAGCCAACAGCTGCTTTTGCTTGGTCATTATCACCATTCACGCTCACTCATACGTCGTCACATGCTGTTCATCTTCTGCTTAATTAGCTTAATTAATCTCCTGTTTTATCAGTCGCGCTTTTATAATTCGCAGTGCCAATGGCAACAACAAATGTACTTAAGCTCGGTGTGCTGCGCACTACGCAACTAATTGACGCATACAACACATAACAAATCTCATTTGATGCTTATATGATGAAAGTCACAAGTGGTGTAGTTATTAGGAGTATAGCGTGGCTCTGCCCTTAGTACTTCCTAAGCTTTAGTTTACTTTTTTTGCTTTTTTTTTCTCTTCCCTTGGCATAAGTCAGTCTGGTTGATTGCGTTGTATAACATAAACTTATTTTCTTCTAATATATTGACGTGTAATTATTTTACGCGTTCGTAAAAAAAATAAGTGGTGTATCAGCTAGTGGCTACGTGATTTTACTCGTCAGGTTTTAAATTATAGTTATATGATTATTAAATATTGCGATCATGAATTTACCCATGGTTTTTGTCCCTTTAAACGTGCGTTACGTATCGGTGGGCATGCGAGTATAGTGTGCGTATGTAGTGTGTATTGATAGGAAATGATTTTTTTTAATAGAGGCAGTACTTCAGTGGTGCATACTCCTGCTTGGTCAAGATTAACTATGGTAGAAGTATTTATTTTATTTAAACAAATGGAGTAAAGATCGAATCAATAAACAATCACGCGGTCAACGATCTTGCATCATCCTTAGAAGATCATTCCAGTGTTAAAAGGTCTCCTCTACCTGTCACATGTATGTATATATACGTGAAATGATTCGTTGGACTCCGTGAAATGTGTTGACTTTCCTCCCCTTCTTCCCAAGTTCCAACCCGTGCATTGCATGCATCTCCATCACAAACCAAAAAAACACCTCCAAATCTTTCTTTTTTGTGATTTTGGACTATTTAGGGTCATGTGTTCACGGCTAAGTATCCAATATCAAAATTTAAATGTACCAAAAAAAGTTGTTCCTAAATTGTTGGTTTGCAGTGAGTGTGGTCCAAACATACCTTACAATTGTTCCCTAACCATATTTTGCCACATTTATAACCAATACTTTAGCTTAAACCATCCGTGGCAAATTAATCATGTGTTAAAAAAACATTCTAATATCTTTAACTTTTTAAGGTATCTTAAATTAAAATCAAGAAATTGAGATCAAGGTGTGTCGCTAGTTTCCGTCTTGATTTTAAACATGTGTGAGGAGACATATTCGTAGGGGGTGTGAGTGCGGTGTAAATGTGCGTAGTGGTGTGTATCAATAAATGAAATTAAACTAAAAAATCAACATAATCTCACTTGACCTTTTATCATCTTTCTCACAAATAAATATATTACTCCGCTAAATTAAAATTTTAAACAACCAGAAGAGAAAAAAAAAACCATCAAGCCGCCGGCACCAGCCAACCCAAGAACCCAACCATAAAAGGCGCGAGTCGCCTCATCTCTCATTAAAACTCAACTAATTTAAACTGTAGCAGTCAATCACCTCCTCCTCCTCCTCCGCCGCCGCCGAGGACGACGACGACGACGAGGAGAAGCTGATCGTGATCGCGCGCGCATGGAGCCCCACATGGAGAGGGCGCTGCGGGAGGCGGTGGCGTCGGAGGCGGAGCGGCGGGAGCTGGAGGGCGTGGTGCGCGCGCACCACACGTTCCCGGCGGCGGAGCGCGCGGCGGGGCCGGGGCGGCGGCCGACGTGCACGTCGCTGGTGGCGCAGCGGGTGGACGCGCCGCTCGCCGCCGTGTGGCCCATCGTGCGCGGGTTCGCCAACCCGCAGCGGTACAAGCACTTCATCAAGTCGTGCGAGCTCGCCGCCGGGGACGGCGCCACCGTGGGGAGCGTCCGGGAGGTCGCCGTCGTGTCGGGCCTCCCGGCGTCCACCAGCACCGAGCGCCTCGAGATCCTCGACGACGACCGCCACGTCCTCAGCTTCCGCGTCGTCGGCGGCGACCACCGCCTCCGCAACTACCGCTCCGTCACCTCCGTCACCGAGTTCTCCTCCCCCTCCTCGCCGCCGCGGCCGTACTGCGTCGTCGTCGAGTCCTACGTCGTCGACGTCCCCGAGGGGAACACCGAGGAGGACACGCGCATGTTCACCGACACCGTCGTCAAGCTCAACCTCCAGAAGCTCGCCGCCGTCGCCACCTCCTCCTCGCCGCCGGCCGCCGGCAACCACCATTAGTGATTGATCATGGTGTAGTATATCCACATGCATGCGTGCATTCTGCATAGTGTTGCTTCTTCTTTTTTTTTCTTTTTTGCTTCCTTTTTTTTTCTCTACCTAAAAGTTGAGTAAAGAGATGAGGTGTTTATAAATTATAAGTTTGAAATTATTTACTTATATTGCAATTCTGATGGGGTGATGACATCAAAAGAGGATGCAATGCAAGTTTGGTGTTAGTTTTAAATTTGTGTGTGTGTTTCTATATATATATATATATATATATATATATATATATATATATATATATATATATATATATATATATATATATATATATAGACACACACACACTAGTATTAATTACATCGTTATCTTGCAATGTCATCATGGTTATTGGTACTTCTCTTTAGTTTGTTTTGTGGATCTATAAGATTTGGTAGTGTTTACTCATACTTTTGAGGAATCCCTTTTCTGTTATGCTTTTTCTAGGCTCAACTAATTTTCAGTTGGAAAAAGATCGATCACAAAGGACTGAAGGAAGAGCAAACAGTGCAAGTTGGTGTTCATTGCTAAAAGGATTGTTTTTTCTTCTTGGATATATTAATGCAATGAGCCTTTCATGTGCTTCATTTGATAACTTTACCCTCATTTTCTAGATTCAAGTTAGCGGACCTCACGATCGATATCATCAATCATCGCATTGAAAATCTTATCCCTTAATCTGCATTGGTTGCACTTATGGTTTATAAGCTGAGAAAAAAATGGCAAAGCAACAAAAATAATTTTAGAGCGACTTAGAGCCTGTTTGGATTAGGGACTTTTTTTTTGTTCATCTCACATCGGATGTTGGGACACTAAATATAAATATTAAACGTAGATTAGTGACAAAACCCATTCCATAACCTTGTACTAATTCGCAAGACGAATCTATTTAGCCTAATTAATCCATGATTAGCTAGCCTATGTGATGCTACAGTAAACATGTGCTAATTATGAATTAATTAGGCTTACAAAGTTTGTCTCGTGAATTCGCTCTCATTTATGCAATTAGTTTTGTAAGTAGCCTATGTTTAATACTCCAAATTAATGTCCAAATATCCGATGTAACAGGGAATAAAGTTTAGTCCTTGTATCTAAACTCTAGCTTACACTTCTTAGCGGTCGAAGAGTTAAGACGGAAAATAGAAAGGCACAATCATAGATTCGTAGACACATTTTAGTGTACATTCTGTGTTATACTATGTATAAACCCTTGATCTTATTTTTTTAGAAAACAAACTTTTATCATCTATATATCTCTTTTAGGTAGTTAAGCATAGATTAAGATTTATGAAAAAGACTATAATACCCCTCATTAAATGATGTATGGTTGAGAGTTGAGTGGTAATTAATTGAGGGTAGAATAGGAAGATATTTGAATGAAATGTGATGGATGGGACAAGTAGTACTTTAGAAGTTTAAGTGATAAATATTTTGAAATAAATTTTGAATTCTAGAGAACAACTATATATTTTGAGACGGAAGTAAGTAAACCCTCTCATATATATAGTTGTATTTGATTTTTTACTTACGAATCTGTTGACCATAAATAAACAAGCCAGAAGAACTACCACACAAGAAAATTGTTGGTGTTTCTGACATTTTGGCTATGGTAGCTATTATATTTTATAACTTCATTAGAAAAATGTTTTAAATAAAAACCATAGGTCATGTTTTATTCATTAGGTTCTGTCCATGCCACGTAATTATGTTTTATGTCACTTTAACGTATTTTCAGGAATCAATTTAGTCTGAGCAGAGCATGATAGCATTAATATCTAAACAACCAGATCCACAGTATTTATTCCAGTTTTTTCTCCATTTTGATCACTTTAGTTAGCAGTGCGATAGTGCATGCTAGTTATATTGTACCTCCATGCGGAAAACAGATTTTCACCTGAATTATTTATCATTGATTATCTACTTAATTATACAGACAAATTAAAATAAACTTAACAAATAGTTTGCAATAAGTGGACTAAACAATGGTAGAAAATATTTAAGAAAACCTATCTCTAAGAGACGTGAAGTAAATAATATGCAACGACAATATGATGAAGTATTACCTTAAAACAGCGCGGAACAGTGATAAATTATGAATTATCTATTTAGCTTGGTTTGTAAATCTTAATACCACATCGTGTGACGAAAAACAGCCCGTAAAAATAATAGGGATCGAATTGTATTCATATTATTATGTTTGTTTTGTTGTTATCCACTCATATGTATATATTAATTATTCTTATTAATGTTTTGCAGCAGCAGATCATGACCTAACGAATCATGTGTGTATCACAAAAAGGGCCAAGTTGCAACTAAAAAGTTGTGGCTAGCATTGCTTGGTAAACAAAGAAAAGCAACATCAAGAACCATTACTAACTCCATGCAAGGCAGAATGAAAAATAAATACTCAAAAGAAATTAATTTATTTTCTCTCTCTATATATGTGTAGGGCCCAGGAAATGGTCAACTTCCAATGACCCGCTAGCTACTACGTACTACCTCCGTTTTTTAATAGATGACGCCGTTGACTTTTTCTCACATGTTTGACTATTTATCTTATTCAAAAATTTTATGCAAATGTATATGATATAAATCACACTTAAAGTACCATGAGTGATAAAACAACTCATAACAAAATAAATTATAATTACATAAATTTTTTGAATAAGACAAATGGTCAAACATGTGAGAAAAAGTCAACGGCGTCATCTATTAAAAAACGGAGGGAGTATATAATTATATACTTTATCTATCCTGGAATTAAATTAAGCCCACTATGTGGCTGCAGGAAAATATAACAAAAATAAATCGTCGATCGGTAAATTTATTGCAACGAAATTAAACAATATACAATAGGATGCCTCTAGAAACATAAGCAACTTGCATCAAAAAATGTTGAGTTCATCGATCATGACACATAAACGTACAAGTTAAGCATTAAACACACGAGCACAAACAAAAATAAATATTATTGTTAGCACATACTCCCTCCATCCCATAAAAACGAATCTATTATCGGATGCGACATGTTCTAATACTATAAATCTAGACAAATGTATGTTCAGATTCGTAGTATTAGGATGTGTCACATCCGATAATAGGTTGGTTTTTTATGGGATGAAGGGAGTACTTCCTCTGTAAAAAAACAAACCCTAGCATATCAAAAAATAATTAAGGAAAGAGACAAAAAAAACTATAATATCCTTAATAAATGTAAAAGTTGTATTGATTAATATGTAGGTGAGAAGTATTGAAATAATAAAATTTCTCGATTTACGGATTGGTGGTAGGTAAGACGGTAGAAGTTGATTTATTTTGGGACAAATTTTAAACTCTAGGAGTTGATTTATTTTGGGACGGAGTGAGTATATTTTCCTCTGGCGGTTTCAAAACAAAAAAATTCCTCTGGTAGATGGTGCACACATTAACAAGTATAGATATATCCATCGCTGTGAATTATTTTGAGTGTGATTCTAAGCAACTTGCATCTAAAAAATTGAGTTTATCATGACAATGGCAGATATCTGATCATTCCATAATTATGTATATACTGTATAAAAAAATCCCCATATTTTTTTAATAATTTCGTACCATTAGTGAATCCTAGTAGTTTCTAGAAAGAACCACATGATTCAACGATATATACATTGCTCTCGTTGAATACGATTATTATATTTTATTAGTTGCTACATGCATTATCACCTTCTGCATTAACGTACACTTTGGACGTGTACTTATTACTTAATCTACTCATTGAGCAGTAGTAATATACACCCGTACGTGCAACTTATAATTAAGATAATCTCGTTTCATGCGGTAGTTTCACACAAGGAGAATACTGCTACAAAGTCAAAAAACTACTTTAATTTACAATTTGGTCAGATTCCAGCTAGTTTTTACTTAACTGGTCCATCGAATCTGCCGCAAATAAAGGATGTATTTTGTAGGGGGAAAAATAAAGGACATATTTTGACCATGCCGTGTTTCATGATGTATATATATGAACTTGCAGTTTTCAAGATAATAAAAATTAAGTTCGCAGTATTTAAAACATTTCAGCAAGTTTCATAACTTCAAACTTCAGTAGCCTGCATGCATGCAATTAATCTCGCAAATGATCGATCAATCGAGCGTGCTGTTTTAGGGCTGGTTTGGTTTGAGGCCTAAATTAGGCTTACCAATATTTGACAATTTCAATAGTGTTCAGTATCTATTTGGTTTGAAGCCAAATTTTGACATGTCTAAAAAAATAGACCATTTTCAATAGTGAATTTAGGCTATTTTGGCTTCAATCTAAACATAACTTTGCCTTACCAAAATTAGTCATGCCAAAACTTACCAAAATTTAGCATTGACAAAATTTGGTAAGACCTATTTAGGCCACAAACCAAACCAACCCTTATCTGCCGTCAGATGTCCTCGCGATTCGTGCTATTACGGCCCCGATGCTCTCTTCTTTCTCCGGCACCCTCGGCTCGTGATGAGGTCAGACAAGGTGGCAGGGGGTGATTGTCAAAAGGCCCAGTGGGACCCACATGCAGAGACACTCAAGCAATGATCAATGCTGACATGTCTATCTCGCAACACTACAGTGATGTAGAAACGATAAATTGGAGAAGGTACGAATTACCCCCTCGAACAATCGTGGTCGTCTGAATTACCCCCCTAAACCACAAAACCAGACATTCTTCATCCTCAACTATGCAAACCGGACGAATTACCCCCTCAACCCAATACACGGTGGTTTTGGTCTACGTGGCGTACACGTGGCAGTCTAGTCAGTGTTTTTTAATTAAAAAATTGTAGGACCCGCATGTAATTCTCTTATTCCTCTCTCTCTCGCGCAGCGCGCACGGCGAGGATGAGCGCGGGGACGGGCGGTCGGCAAGAGGCTGCGCCGCGTCGGCAAGAAGGCTCTGGCTGCCGAGGTGGATCTAGACGAGGGCCACGCGGCGGAAGAGCGCGATGATGGTGCGGTGGTGCTCGGCGCGTTGAGCGAGAGGTAGCAGGCGAGGAGGTCTTGCAGGTCCTCCAACGGCCGGACGCCATTGGTGCACAACATCTCGATCATGCTGTCCACCAGCTCCGGCTCCGTCAACTCCATCACCACCGCCTCGCTCTCGTGCAGCCACATC